GAATCAAGTAAAACATAACCAATGGCCAATGCTTTGTTTCAAGTGACATCATAGTTACTGCATAACTCGTCAACAAACATCAATTACATGTTTTGTTGTTGAAAGTTTCCATTTCAGCTTTCATTTTGTTGAGGTTTCCTTGTCCATCGTGGGGAAATGTTGATTTTAGCAATACCAGTTTGCTTTTCTTTACCATGTGTAGGGCCAGTGTCATATCTTTATGAAATCTAAAGATTGTACTGTACAGTTCTCTATTTTGAAATTGCAACATTTCATTTGGAATTTCTGTTTTGTTGCTGTGTACAGTTCCTGTGCTGGTTAACTTGGGAGTAAGTACCAATTCTGCTCACAGCCACCATTTGGTTTATTACTGTACAAATAAGGACCTGATGGCTGAGTTTCAGGATAAATGTCTAAATTGAAAGAATAGTAAGTCTTACATCTACAAGAGCATACATTTTCATGCCATATTTTGACTCATTGCTCTTCCATAAGTGTTTCCCATGCCTGCACTCACCATGAGAAATTATGCTAGGTAGAACTGACCCATGTGTGCTTTCAGATCAGTTAATGAAGTCTCATAACACATTTTTGAATGTGGATATTGGTGCGTACTGAACATTTTACTTGCATTTCAGCCTTTGTGTATTTCACAGCATCTTGTAACAATCACCTGTTATAATTTCCAACATTGAATGGCAGTGCTGACATTCTATCCAATACATTTCATCCCTGCCAAGACCCTCACTATATTTTCAGACCTACTTCTAATATCTGAACATTCCGTGCTCGCGTATATTTGAACTAGTCATATATGTACTTGTATTGCTGTTTTCTTTGTCATCAGAATCACAGAGGTCTGCATTTCTTGTATCTGTATCAGTCAGTTTTTGCTCTATTTCACTGTCACAGAAACTTTTATTTCACATGGCCAGTGTCAAAGTCATCGTCGTCATCATCATCATTCATCCACACCACTCTTCTGTTATAAAACCATGTATTTTACCATAATGGATCATCTTCTTCATCCTTGCATGAATAATCTGATGATTCACTTTGTCCTCCTCCAAAATTTGTAAGTCTGGCTTTTCATGTTTGTACTGGCTTTCCATGTTTCTACCAGAAAAATCAAAAGAAAACTTTTTGAAACAAATTCTGGAGTGGTGTGGGTCTATTGGAGCCTCTGTGATGCTCTGGTAAACAAACACAAAATCCGATACTTGGAGCATATAAGATGGGTCCAAACCCTATCTTGACACTTTGGCACATGCATACTCATTGCCATTCATCATACCAAGTGGGTAAACACATGAAAGGTACTGAGGTGCACATTTGGCTTTCGTTACATAACATTCAAATCTACAGTATAAAACTAAGGGATGGGCCTATTGAACCTGGTCTTATGTTCTAATTAAGCTGTTTCTGTGTTTTGGCGTGTGACAGTGGTTTTCTATGTCTGCATCCCTTTTTTGTCAGTTCTTTTGGATGTATATCTGGATTATGTTTAACATTTTGAGGAGTCATCTGATTGTTTTTCTTTTTACTTTAAGTAGAATAAAACCAAGTAAAATAAAACAGAGTAAAGCCAATCAAAACTAACCAATGTGACACAGAACTTCAAAACAATAGGAAATCAACAGTGGTTACTATAATGCTTCTCACGGTCTCCAAAATAGCTGTAGATACCTTCAGATATAGGAAAAATCAAACGAAAGAGAACAGAGTAGAACCAATAAAAACAAAACAATGAATGCATAAAGGACTTCAAAATGATAAAATAAATGCAAAATAGCTACCATAATAGATCATGTTACCTTTGAAATAGCTGCCCATGCCATCAGATATAATAAAATCAAACCAAACTGAACAGAATAAAACCCAACCCAACAAAACAATGAAAATGATACAGGACTTCAGAACAAGATATTAGGGAATTAACAATGGCTACCACCTTCAGAAGGAGATGCTCCAAAGATACTATATTGTGTATTGTTATCCTCAATAGGTGATCAGACTGCTGGCTGTAGACCTGCAAAGTCAGTGAAATATTAAACACTGCAAGCATTAAGTTGTATTTTACTTCACTGGCTATCATCGCAGCCTGTGTTTCTCAAAATCAGCAGGTTGCTTATAATGGATGGATATGGGTGGTTCCCAGCCCACGTGCCAAAAGGGCCTGGCACCTGGCTCTCACTCCAGCAGCCACACACTGTGCTGAATCACAGGGAGGGCTTGCTTCTTGGTGACTTCTTGTTCTCTTCCTCCACAGTCCATGAGTGGTGCTGACTCATGGGGGAAGGCTGGTGTCTGTCTCTCTTCCCAGCAGCCTGTGCATGGTGTCAATTTGCCTGATTTTTTAAAATAATGACTACATCATTTTAAATTTCCACCACCAGTGCATGAGTGTTAAATTTCTCTGTTGGAAAATAGATTTTTAAATTTCCTGTTAATTTCTTTCTTTCTTTCTTTCTTTTTTTGGTTACATTGTCATCAATCAGAAGAGTATGAAGTAGTGTAGTAGCTGAAGCTCTCTGTAGCTCAGGATGGCCTCAAATTTGAGATCCTTCTGCCTTCACCTCCTGAGTCCTTGAATCACAGGCATGTGCCACCATGCCTAGCTTAAGCTTTCAACCTTTACCATTGATAAGTTCTTAACTGTGGAGTTTTAGTATGTGGTCTTGATCTTATTCAAACATATTTCCTTTTACTTCTAGCTTGAATATTTTATCATAAAAAGGTGTTGGATTATTTAGATGATTATGTAGGATTTTTCCTTTATTCTATTAATGTGGTATATTATGTTGAATGATTTTCAGGAAGTTGTTCTTTTGCTCCAGAAATGTCTTACTTGGTCGTGGTGTACAATCCTTTAAAAATGGTATTTTTTGGGCTGGGGATTTAGCTCAGCGGCATAAGCGCCTGCCTTGCAAGCAGGCAGTCGTGAGTTCGATCCCCGGTACCGATAAAAAGGAAAAAGACAAAAAAAAAAAAAAAAGGTATTTTTTGTTGAAACCCCTCCCCCCAACCAAACTTTTTATGATTTATTTTCTCATGGTACTGGGGATGGAACCCAGACAAGTACTTTATCTAGCTTCATGAGTATGCATAGCCCCACTCATATTCTTAAAGAATATTTGTCTAGATTTGTTGTGTCTTTCTCTGGATTTGATATCACAGCAATTCTGACTTCACAAAATGAACTAGAAAGTGTTCCTCCTGTGTAATTTTTTGCAGGTATTTGATTAAAAAGGGTTGATATTAATTCTTCCGTGTTTTGTAGAGTTTACCAGTGAGACCATATGATCCTGAGCTTTTCTTTTTGTTGTTGTTGTTGCTGATTTAGTGTCCTTACTATAGTAATAGTTCTATTCATATTTTTTGTCTTTTTTGGGTTCATTATTTTGTAAGTCCGCTTATGATGTGTATTTCTAGGAGTTTGTCCACATTGTTTAATTTGTTGATACTGTTTTCATAGGATTGTGTATCATTCTTATTTTATAACATCAATGGTAATATTACCATATTCATTTGTGACTTCAGTGATTTTGGACTACTTTTTTTTTAGTCTACTAGAATTTTATTAATGTTGACTTTTTCAAAGGATTAGCTTTTGATTTGGTTCATTTTCTCTATTATTTTTCTATTCTCTATGTCCATGTAAATCTTTATTTCAGTTGCTCTTTTAGCTTTTGAATGCTCTTTTTCTACTTCCTTATTTATTGATTGGATAACTTTCTTATTTTTTAATGTGTTTATAATAATAAATTTGCCTGTTGGCACTGTTTTCTCTGCATTTTAAGTTTTTGTGTGTTGTGCTTTATGTTCATTTGCCTCAAGATATACTTTCTAATTTTCTTTTTCTTTTGATATTTGTTTTTGATCTATTGGTTTTTTAGGATTGTGTTGTCTAATTTTCACATAGTTCTGAATTTCCTATTTTTCTCTATTGTTGGCCTAGTTTCATTCCTTTATTAGCAGGAAAGATACTTGGCATAACATTAGTTTCTTTAAATGTATTAATACTTGGTTGGTGCCGTAACACATGGGTCTGCTTTGGAAGGTGTTGTAAGTGCCCTCCGAACTTTTGATGTTATACCAGAGAATATATGTAGGTGGAGGTGTGAGATACTCATTTTGGAGAATATCCAAAGGAAGAAATTGGCCAATGAGCTATGGAGAGGGATTGAGGTCACTAGAATGGGTAAATTTTTTAAGAACAGAATTTAGGGCAGTAGCCAGGTAGAGTGTCACATGCTTAGAATTTCCGCATATGAGGGGCTGAGGCCGCAGGATCACTGCAAGTTCAAGGCCTGTGTGGATTACATAGTGAGTTCAAGGTAAGCCTGAACTGCATAGGGAGGCATTGTCTCAAAAACCAGAACAAAACAAAACAGACAATTTAGGGCAAATAGACCAGCTATAGTTGTATTCTGACTTAGGGGCTAAATTCTAAATATTGCTTGGAGTATTAGAAAAAGATGGAATAATTTGACATGTGCTATATGGCAAGTCAGTAAGGTATTTATATATTGAAAAATATCCAGAGGAGGTTAAGATCAGCTTAATTCAGTGCTGAGTTCAAATATCTGGGAATGACTGTTTCTTTTTTTTGTCTTTTTGAGACAGGATCTCTGTGAAGTTCAGGCTGGCCTTGAGCTCACTTTGTAGCCCAGGCTGGTCTCAAACTTGCAACAATCCTCCTACCTCAGCCTCCCGAGTGCTGGGATTACAAGCGTGAACCACTACGCCTGGCTCGAACGACTGTTTCTTATATAGTGTTTTCCTGTATTAATTCAACAGGGGAAATGAAGATATTGAGGGGGTAGATTTGAGAAATATTTAAGTGATGACAGCTACTTAAATTGTAAAATTAAAAACCCAAATACCTGTACATATTGTGCATTCTTCATAGTGTTGCCTACCTATTATTTTGTTACTAATTAAATCTGAAATAAGAGAAACATCATGTATTATCTTTTTGTTGTATTTGGATTCTGTAGAAATTGTTTCTGGACAGTCTGCGAAAAGCACTTGCTGGCCATGGAGGAAGTAGGCAACTGACAGAAAGCGCGGCAATTGCTTGTGTCAAATTGTGTAAAGCTAGTACTTACATCAACTGGGAAGATAACTCCGTCATCTTTCTACTAGTTCAGTCCATGGTGGTTGATCTTAAGGTAAAATGTTGCTTCTTTCTGTACTACAGATTTTAAGAAAATTAAATGAATAAATTTCTAGCATAAGCATTATGCCAAAGATTATTGCTAATATTAATATTCTGAGTCATTTTTTGATAATAGGACCCGTTTTTGTTGTTACATTCATCAGCCTAGACTGAGAATATGAAGCGTAATATAGATTTAACCAGTTTTCATAAACTAGCATAAATACACAGATTTGCATTCAAAATAATGTAGGAATGAGACATTGGAGGAGCCATATGTGGTACAGTAAGACACCAGAGCAGTGAACTACAATATAGTGCTTGTGCTTTTTCTGGTAGCTGAATATTATGTACTGTCATCTATCTGGATAACATGGATATTGTTACATACTAGTAAAGCACTGCATGACCATTTAAAGGCCTTTGTTTTTTATTCGGGTTTTTACAGAACCTGCTTTTTAATCCAACTAAACCATTCTCAAGAGGTAGTCAGCCTGCAGATGTGGATCTAATGATTGATTGCCTTGTCTCTTGCTTTCGTATAAGCCCTCAGAACAACCAACACTTTAAGGTGAGAGCATTGATTTTTATCCAGTTTTATTTATGATGCTGCTATTCTACAGATGTTAAAAGACTAGAAAGATAAGTAAATATATCTTTATCAGTATTTCTTAATATTATATACAGATGCTAATTTTGAGATCTAAAAAAGGTATTCTATTTTTAGCTGGGTGTGGTGGTACACACCTTTAATGCCAACTACTCAGGACACCGAGGCAGGAGGAGTAAGAATTTGAGGCTCACCTCAGTAACAGAGCAATAGTGCGTCTCAAAAAAATTGTAATTTAAAAAACTTTTCTTTTGCCATTCTTTTTTATTTTCATTTATGTTACTATTTTTCTCATAGAAATGATTTACTGTTCTTTCCTCTATAGATCTGCTTGGCTCAGAATTCACCATCTACATTTCATTATGTGCTAGTAAATTCACTCCATCGAATCATCACCAATGTAAGTCTAAAAGGTATTGCTAAATTATTAAAAGAAAAATTGGGGGAGGGCTGGTATACATTTGTTCCCCTCTTAAAAGGAAATGTTCTTGGTTTTCACAAGCATTTTTAGCTTAAATAGTATGACATAGGAAGGTTTCTCAAGGTGATTGTATTTTGTATTGAGACACAGTTGTGTTTTTCTTACTGTCTTGACCTGAGGAAGATGGAATTAATAGGCTCTTTTGGAAAGAAAAGTGTAAATCTAAAAGCTTTTTTTTTTGGATTGAAAGACTTTGAGAAGAATGTCACTGAAAATATTTAGCATTTTGATCTGAAAGTTAGTTACGTTTGAACACTCTTAGCTTCTCCCAGCACTTGATACATTCTGGCTTATTAGAGGATAGTTTAAATTAAAAGTAACAGGATTTACGTTGTAGCCCAGTATGACATTTATGCAGTGGTGAGGCTTTGTTTGATTGTCCTTTTCATTCCTCCTTAAACAAAATGAAATATTAACACACTTCAAAAGAGGTGTTTTCAAAATCCAAAAGCTTACCGGATAAACATGAACTCATTAGTGTGTACTTTTGTTGTAGATACGTGAAGTAGAAAGACAGTGAAAACCTTTTAGGTTTGTACTATAGATTTTATGTCTGTTCATCTAATTCTGAACAATTATACTAAGATTCTCAGGTGTCATGTTCCATAGTTTCACTTTTCTGCATTGTTATTTATACTTACATATAAATTTGTCATTACGCTATTTTCCTTCCTTAAGAGTTTAGTTATTGATAGCAGTAAATATGTCCAATTCCATTTTAAGACTTTCTCTGGTAAGGCTAAAACAAGACGTTGGGTATATTATGTTAAACTAAATGCTGCTGATATTTTGTTTTAGACATTCAGTGGGGAAAACCAACTATTGATAAAAGCTGTGTAATGCCAACATTTCGTTTTTTAGGTACAGTAGTAGTAGCATTTTGAGGAGGAATTAGTTGTTATGCAGGGTTCTGTGTACACTGCAGGACAGTTAGCACCTCTGGCCCTCATGTTAAGAAACTGTCTGCTGCATCACATCCCCTGCACTGTGAACAGCTCTGAAGACCCAGGGGAATGATTCCTTCCTCTGTTGAGTATTACTGAGTTAAATTATAGGTAGAAGTAAGATTGAATATTCTTTGTTCCAAAAGAGAAAGTATAATGAATCTGATTGTAGATAGGGTATGTTTGTATTAAAAACTGCAAAAAATTACTATATTTTTGCCAATGTAATGATCTAGGACATACTCTCAAGGTTTATTTTTAAGACCATTTTATTTCAAGACATTAAAAACTTGTCCTCCTAAAGTTTATCCATAACTCAGAAACAGAATGTTACTTTTCTTCCTTTTTTGTCATAATACTAAAAATATTTCAATTGTTAGAGTGTATAGTTTTACATAAGTTCATAAAATTTGTATTGAATAAATCCCAGTATATACTCTTTTAATACTCTGTGGCTAGTTACTTTAATTGTGAAATATTTTTGTCTACAATTGAACATATAGAGCACTTTCAAGCATGGACTTGGCACTGCTGTAAGTGGCTGAGCTGCTCCTCTTGGGTTCCGAGCATGCCTGGAGTGGTGCTTCATGCATGCCACAGTGTACTTGGTGGAAGTGGTTGTGCATCCTCCTCTACTCTGATGAGTACTGCATGTGGGAAGGTGGAGTGTGTCTGTATCTGAGGTCAAGTCAGTATGGACATCTGTTTTCATAAGGAAACTCTGTTGACCGATTTAAAAATATTAAGCATCAGTAACCTTTCAGTGAAATAGCTTGAAGAATAGTGTATGTATTACTTCCAAGTACCTCAAACTTATACCTTAGAGACTCTGTTAAGATTGCTTACTGTTTGTTAGGTTTGTTCTCCATCCTTTTGGTTTGAGGCTGGTACTGAATCTAAAGTACTTTCTGACTGAAAAGGGGTATTTATGAAAGTAAATATGTAAATTCATGGAATTGACTTAATAGAGGCTTATTGAAGACTGTTACTAGGGAAGTATTTCATTTCTTGTAATCACATGAAATTTTTTCTTAGATATTTTGATTCCTGATCTTAAATTGACTTTTAGTGTAAGATTTCTTTTTAAATGATTCTTGGTTCAATACATCTCAAACAATTTCTTTTTCCATGAGTCTTTAGCCAGTTCACACAGTTTTAAAAACTATCACATTCTCAACTAAGATAAAAATTTCTTTTTTGAGGGTTTATGTAGAAATAATAGTGGCATTTGGAGTTTATTTTGCTTCTGTGATATATATGGAATTCTTAAATACTGTGCTTGAATCCATTGTTTCTTAGATAATGTTAACATTACTCACTATTTGAATTTTATTGTAACCACAGTTTTAAGAGTTATCTTTTACTGTCACCTTTTTGTTATGATATTATAAGAGGTAAATTATAATTTAGAATCTGTGTTATATTCTTGAAAGCTATAGAGGCTTCAGGTTAAGTTAGATATGTAATTGACAAATTTAAAAAGTAATATACACATATTTGAGTGATTTATCTAAGTCATCACTGTTTCATGCTATAGCTATTATGGTCCTTTATTTATATTCTTTCTTTTGGCAGTTTATCATACTTCACTTGGTGACATTTTGCATACTGAGAATGCGATGATCTTTTTGTTCAGAGGTTGTGGTTAAAGGTCTGAGGCATTTGAAAAATAAATAATCTCTTGAGTTGCCACATAATTTGCTTATATGTTTTAACTTTTTGATCAAGAAAACAGTATTTTTGGGCCTGGGATTTAGCTCAGTGGCATAAGCGCTTGCCTGGTAAGCACGAGGTCGTGAGTTCGATCCCAGGTACCAAGAAAAAAAGAAAAACAAGAAAACAGTATTTTCATGAAAAAAGTCCTAATTGTCAGCTTCAGAAAAACATGTTTAGTAACTGCTCAGTGTACTAAAAATTTTAACTTCATAATGTATAGTTTTTAGTGCTTGTTTATTTGAAAGTATATCTGTTACTTTAAGATGAATGAATGTATTACAAAAATAAAAAGTGTCAAAACCACTAAATCTTAAGACTGAAGACATTTTATAGGGTGCACCTGATACCAAAATGCAGTTTAAGTTTCTATCAAAATAATGCTGTCATTTGGGTAGGATGTTATATGGGGTGCACATTTCTTTAGCTTACCATTGTCCACAACTCTTCTCTCCCATTCTGGGGATTGAATCCAGGGCCTTTGCTCTGGGCTACACCCTCTAGTGCTTTTTTTTTTTTTTTTTAGAGCTTTGCTAAGTCATACATTGTGAAATTGTAATCTTCTTGCCTCAGCCTCCCAGAGTGCTGCAATTATAGTTCCAGACAGGATTTTATGCCATTTGTGGAGTGAAGAGGACCCTTACTCAATGTACTTTATCACTGTTCAGCATTTAGTTACTTTAAGATGATTAACTCAAGCTGTATGATATAATAAATAAGTGGAAATCAAATTGGATTAGTTGCTTTTGGCAAGTTAGATGAGAGATTGGTCCAAGTTTGAGAAATCTATTCTGTAACCAAACTTAAAAAAAAAAAATCATTTAGGAACTAACCTAAGTAAAATAAGAACTGAGGGAATAACACACATAACCATTAATTGTCTTTAATCTCACAGTTAATCTTTCTGAATGGAGTTTAGTACTTTTTAATTTCACAGTTAATCTTTCTGAATGGAGTTTAGTAGTTTATTCAAATTGTGTGTCATATATTAGTTTAAATTGTACTATCCTATAAGTAGAAGGTGAATTCACAGCTGTAGTTAAGGTTGACACAATGATTTTACTCAAAATACTCTGTTTTTTAAAAAATTTAAGCAGGAAAAAAAGGGTAGAAGTTATACAGAATTTCAGAAAAAATAAATAGTAGGAAATCACTAGTTAATAGATTACATATTGTCATCTTAGAAATAGTTGTTCAAGTTACAAAATTAAAGCATATAAAGTGGACAAACAGTGAGATTGCAAACAGTTCTGTTCAATGATCCAACATAACTCAGTAATATGGTTATCTATCTTATACACTTGAATATACATGCAGTTATATCCTTCAGAGCACTTTTTTTCCCTCTCTTTTGTACAATGACAATTACACATTACCCAAAATATTCTGGGAATTAGGAGTAAAACTGAGACCTTGGCTTGGTTTGGAATAAGAAGGAGTCTAGGAGTAGGATGTGAAACTGTTGAAACCTCCTTATCTATATGAATCGGCTATCATTTTCCAGATGTCTCCTTTAATCTTACTATAAATTGGGAGTCAGTCTATATTTTAAGTTATCCGTTTCCTGTGTATTCTCCGTATATAGTGAAAATTCATTTATATGTAGTCTGAACTTTATAATTTAGTGATTTTCATAATTTTCAGTTTTATAATTCATTTTAAAGTAAAAGTTAAAGATGTACTTTCAAATAAAATTGACATTAAAAACTAGACATCAAAACTAGATAGGTGAAACAGAAATAGGAACATATATACATACATAATTGGCCTAACTTAGCTAAGGTCGGTTTGTCTTGTTTATGGTGATTGTTAGTCTTCCATGTATTGTGCCATCATTGCATATTGATTTAAGATTGTAGGTTTACTAATGGCTTTATTTCATTTACTAATTTTATGTTGTAATTATTGTTGTTTGTAAGCATTTAAGTAATGGTTTACCATGTATTCTTTCAGCATTATGTTGAACCACTAATCTCTTTTAAAACTTTGATAATAGCATTCTTATTTGGAAAAAAACTATATGCATGTCTGAAGAAAAGGAAAAAGATGGGCTGCAGCATTAGTTCTTTAAATATTTTTTCAATCGAGTAGGTTATCAGTGAGAAGATAGTCTCATATGCACATGCTCATTATTATATTTTAAAATATAATATGATGGGTTATGTTGAGTTAATGTCATCATTTCAAGACTTTGAAAATTATGATGTGTTTTTGCATGATCTCAGGAAATATCTGACAAAAAGACAAACTTAAAACTATAGTAATAATGGAACATACAACTCAAGTAATTTTGTACATTTCTACTTTGTGGTGTTTTTCTCCAGTCTGCATTGGATTGGTGGCCTAAGATTGATGCTGTATATTGTCACTCAGTTGAACTTCGAAATATGTTTGGTGAAACACTTCATAAAGCAGTGCAAGGTTGTGGAGCACATCCAGCAATACGAATGGCACCGGTAAGAAATCATAGGAGTTCTGTGTTCTAACAGAGGATTAGACCTAATGTGGCATTTAAAAACTCATAGGAGACCAGCATAAGCAGATAATTAGAGAACTGTGTACTTGTTGGTATATAGGTATAGCAAGAATATTGTACTGCCTTTTTATTGTGTCTTTAGTGTCTCATTCTTGCTGCTTTATCTTAGAGAATTGAGTCTTTTCTTGTAAATGTTGTGTTATGTTGTATATTGCAGTAATATTAAATACTAGTTATGATAATGTTTATTTTACACTGTTTAACTGAACCTCCTTAGAGAAATTTCCTCACAGAATACTGTTAAATCTAAATGAATATGACCTTTTTCCTTTTGCTTTTAGTTTCTTTTTCCTTTTTTGTGAACTGAAGTATTTTTGGTAGCTTCTCATCTTTTGAGGATGAGTGAGGAAAGCTGACTCCTGGGTTAGAGTGAATGTTCCTCGTTGGATGTTCATTCAGTATTACACATGGAAAATCAGAGACTGAATTAAATCTTAATTTAAAGTAAAATTTCATATTTTACCAAATATACATTGAGCATTTACAAATGACAGGCACTTGATGCTGAGGTTTGATGATATTTAAACTTAATTAATGCAGATATTTCCAGTTAGGTATTCTAACAGATTATTAGGAATAAGATAGGATTTTAAAACTCATATGAAATCTGTGAAAATAGATTATTATGGGATGTGTAAGTCATTTCTTGGTATTTCTTGGTATTTATGTATAGCAAAAGTATTGTACATGGCAACTCTTGGCATTGATTGGTGGTGCTTTGTCTTCTGCTTCTTATTTTCTATTCTTATTGGCGGCTGTCGCTCACATGATCAGATGCCAACCAGTCACTGTTTTGCATGGCAGTGGGCTTCTGTGGCTGTAAGTATCACCCATAGTAACTACCTCAGAAAAGTCCTTGCTTTCTTTGACTTTTCTGTGTATAGTTACCATTTTAGTGACATCATGTCATTTCAAATAAAAATGTGGCATGTCTTCACATACTGGTTTTGCCTAGTAAATCAGCCATTTCACACTTGTAATTTAAACAGCTTCCTCTCTGGCAATCTCCCATAGTTAGTAAAATATGTTTATTTTATACAGTTAAGGTTCACTCTTATCCAGTTGTCAGTTATTGTTTCTGAGGATTGTTTATCTTGGATGCTCAAATGCAGAAGTTTCCTATATCATGAGTTTTGACATTATTTGGCCTAAAAAATGATAGCCAAAAGGCATGGTAATGAAGTTTTTGTTCAGTAAATTTTAACATGCAAGTTAATTTTTTAGTTGACTTTTTGTAATGCCTATTAGGTAATTTTTTTAAGATGGAAAAACTTCACAGGCATAAGTTCATTGGAGGTAAACAAATAACTTACTTAACCGGACATCATTTTTAAAAAGTTTTAATAATTACATTAAATAATTTGGGGTTTGAGGACTTTTGAGGATTTAACCCAGGACCTTGTGTGTGTGAAGCACATGTCTCTTCATTGAGATACAACTCTAATGCTAAATAAATTGTTTAAAAATTACTTAATGACCAATTTGTTCTAGGTATGCTTTGGGAAATTCCAACTCTGACTTATTAAGTGTACTGTCTTTTCTGGTAGAAAAGTAATGGCCCCAGCTTCCTATTTGACTTTAGTATCCAGTTGACCAACAGTCTGTATAATTTAAGTTTCTTGGCATATGTACTAGAAAAAAATCAAATGATTTATTTGAACAGAATTTGATTAGTAGCCCAAAGGTGTTCTCTATGTTTAGAAGTTATTTTACATTTTTTTTTTTTTTGGTCTTTTTGAGACAGGGTCTCTATGCAGTTCAGCCTGGCCTTGAGCTTTGTAGCCCAGGCTAGTCTCAAACTCGAAAGGATCCTCCTGCCTCAGCCTTCAGAGTGCTGGAATTACAGGCGTGAGCCACCACGCCTGGCCTATTTTACTTTATTTTTAGTCCCAATTATTAGTTGATGCTAAGACCTACATATTATACTAGTGATCTTTTTTTCTTTTTACATAAAAGCCATAATTAGGGAGATATCATCCTTTGATCTAAGAATACCTATAAGAGTTTAGTTATTTCTGATTAATTCTCTGTTACTTAGTATGCCTTTAAATTTTAAAATCATTTTTAAGCTTTTATGTTTGTGTACTTAGATATATCTATGAAATTTTGAAAGCACATCTGTGTATATAATGACTGCAGAACAGTTTTCTGATATTTTTCACTAGAGAAAATAGCTCATTTAATGTGATATAATTTTTTAGAATAAGAAAATTTTAGAATTTAGAGGATCCTTCTGGTGACTCTCACCTGTCATAAATCATGGGAGTTACTAGTCAGACAAGTATCTCAGTATATCAACCCTTTTGCTAACTGCCAGCCACAGGGCTAACACCAGGGAAATGTAATGAAATGAGCATACCGCCTTGCCTCACACAGATTCTGATCAATCATTTTGTAGCTTTTGTTTCAAAACATCTTAATGAAAAACTCACCAGGCATGGTAGTGTACACATGTAATTTCAGCATGCTGGAGGCTGAGGCAGGAGGATGGCTGTGAGTTCGAGGCTAGCCTGGGCTACATAAATGAGTTTCAGGCTAAGCTGCACTACACAATGAGACCTTGTCTCAAAAAACCCCCCAAACAAAACAAAAAAAAACAAAAAACCTCGAAATTTCACCAATGTTGGTCTTAGTGCCTGGAAACACAAATACATGTAAGAAATGTTTTAGAGATAATACATAATAACATCAGTGTTTCTCTGTGTTAGCCTTGTTGACATTTTAGATTGGTGAACTCCTTGTTGTAGTGTCTGGCCTGTGCACAGTGGTACGGTTAGCTGTCTGGCCTGTACCTACTACATGGCAGTAGCACCTGTCCTTTGATCCCCTCCTAGTCATGAAATCCAGAATGCCTTCAAGATGTCTCCTGGAAGTCATAATCCTTTCTAGTTGAGAACCGTTGTATATTATCATTGTGTGGATGTGTTCAGTGGGTGTTCCCTTATTTGCATTGCCTCAAATGATTTGGGACTGATAAACCTGAGCCTTTAGCTTGCTGCAGAAGTCGCAGTCAAAGGAGTTTAAGCTATGAAAAAACAATACGTGTTTCATAGCATTGCAGCTGTCTTGTATTTTAGAGACAGGTCATTTGGTGGAAAGGTAATTATTTGAAAATTTTTTCTTCTATAAAGTAGAATCATGTTCCTGTTACTCCCAGGTATCATGGGTCTCCTTTCTTCTAGAACTCTGACTAGTACTTCTGATTCTTTCACGAGGCAGCCCTGAAGAAATTTGAGTAAAGTTGTCATGTACTCTTAAGGGTTGTTTCTATTTTTATATAGTTTTAGTATTGGAAGGACTTTATTATTTTGACTCTTTAAAAAAGTGTATGTATAAGGGGCTGGGGATTTAGAAAAAAAAACAAAAACAAAAAACAAAGTGTATGTGTGTGTATGTGCGCGCGCATGCATGTTTGCTTTCACGTTTGTTGTGTGACTTGTTTTTTGTAGTAAAGGCAGCTAAGAACTAAATCTTGTTAAATGAATTAAATAGTCATATAATTAGTGAATGACCTGCTAGAGTTGGTTTGGGTCTCTCCATATTCAGTCCAGTGTTGTTACCAGGTTCTTCAGTTGTTGTTCCTTAGTAGCCTATTAGCTTAGTGAAAGTAGAAGCTTTATCTGGCTATTCAGCATCTACTCCCTGGTCCATGGAACAGCCACTGGCACTTCCAGGCATGTAGGCTGTATTTGATGGATGAATACATGAATGAATGAATGAATGAATGAATGAATGAATGAATGAGTGTTTGCCCTTGTGTTAAAAAACCATCTGATTTGCTTCTCTTTCAGAGAAACTATCTTTATAACATTAAAAATTAACAGGGCATAATGATTATGTGACTTTAGTGTTCTAGATGTGGTGTAATAATTTATGAGAGCCAAAGCCTATTGTGCCTGGAACTGTGTTTAAATTCATAAAGTTTAAGGTGGTATTATGGCCTTATATTGCACTTCTATTCATTTAAATTCTAGTTTTTTCATGCAAATATTGAACCATAGCTTTTTATTTTTTTAACTTTAAAACTTCATTTTTATAAAAAATTAAATTTAGTGGTACATTTTAGCTATTCATAATGATTACATTCACTATAGGGAATTTGTATCTGCACATGGTATATCTTGATTTTTTTAAAAACTTTTTCTATTCCCTTACCCTCTCTTCAGCACCACCCCTCCAACCCCCAGTTCCCCTTTCCATTTGGACATTTTATTCCTATTTCATAATATCTATTATGCATTTTGATTCTCATGTACACTTTCAGTTTTCATACAACAAACACAGTGTGGTGTTTATACAGGGGTGTCAGATTTATTTATCTTAAAGAGTACGATATCCAGTTGCACCCCTCAGCTGTAAATGTCTCAAGCTTATCCTCCTTAATGGAAGGGTAGTACTCTGTGGTATAAAAACATCCCGTATTTTCTTATCCATTCACCAGCTGATTGGCATTTGGGCTGTTTCCAAGATTTAACTATTACAAACTGTGCCCCTCTACACATGGCAAAACATAGATAGTTTTTCCTTCTTTGTACTCTTGTGTTTTGTTTTTAGATCAGAAACTTTTAAGCGAGGGGTGGTGGCGCACACCAGTAGTCCCAGCACTCGGGAGACTGAGGCAGGAGGATTGCTGTGAGTTCGAGGCTGGCCTGAATGACGCGGCAAGACCCTGTCTCAAAAATCCAAAAAAATAAACTTTTTATCTCAGCCCTGAACACTTTACATTTTAAAACTAGTGTCTTCTGCTTTCATGAAACTCAAGCCTGCCAAGAGATGTTCAGTAATTTCACAAGTATATTATTTCTTTAAGACTTTTTTGTCTTAGAGAAGATCTTGGCTCCATAAATGCTTTTTATATATCTGTAAGTTGGTGATATAGTCTTAAGTTAATGAGTGGTTTGGGCCCTTAGTAGCCTCCTGAATCCTCTGCTTCATAAATTTCTTCTCAGGCCTAACTGCTTCTCTCCTTTGGCCAAAACGCATGTACCAAGTTGGATTCTTACTTATACCTGGAGTGTTATTATTTTTCTTATATTTAATTTTTTTAGCAAGTTGTTCTTGCTTTATATAACCCAGGGGTGGTCCTTAAAAAGTATTGGAATTGAATAAATTCATTGAAATTTCTCAGGTCTTAACATTTCATATTAGCCTCACTGGGACAAAATTTATATGCTGTTACTTGAGATTAAGAGATGATATAATTAAAATAATACTTACCTTTTAAAGAAATGTTTACTAAATAAAAAATAACTCTTTAATTGCTCCAGGCATGGTGGTGCACACCTTTAATCCCAGCATTTGGGAGGCTGAGGCAGGAGGGTCCCCAAGAGTTTGGGGCCAGTCTGGACTACATAGAGAGTTCAGGGCCAGCCTAACTACAGAGCAAGACCCTGTCTCAAAACATAACAAAAACCAACCAAACAAAATAATTATTTAACTGCTGATTGTTCTCTGATCCTGTGTGGTTTTTTTTGTTTGTTTGTTTGTTTTAGCGGTGGTCTCGCTATGCAGTTCAGGCTGGCCTTGAGCTCACTTTGTAGCCCATGCTGGTCTCCTGAACTCACAACAATCCTCCTACCTCAGCCTCCCTAGTGCTGGGATTATAGGCGTGAGCCACCATGCCTGGCTGATCCTGTGTTTTTGAACAATGGCTACATTAGGCAAGAAGTGTTTTGTGGCTTATACTACTTCTTTACACCATAGTAAATAAATTTGTTCAGTGAAAGTTTCACCTGGATCTCAGGTTCGAATTAGAATGAAAACTATGTGTAGTTTAATGGAACTGAACGAGAATGTACTTAATGTATTAGGTAAACAGTTTCTTTGGCAGTTATAAAAGCAAACAGTAATTTGTAGGTTTTGATATTGCAGTTCTTTTTTTTTTTGTCTTTTTCCTTTTTATCAGTACCAGGGATTGAACTCACGACTGCCTGCTTGCAAGGCAGGCGCTTATGCTGCTGAGCTAAATCCCCAGCCCCTTCCTTTTTTTTTTTTTTTAAATCGGTACTGGGGTTCGATCTCAGGACCGCTTGCTTGCAAGGCAGGTGCTTATGCCGCTGAGCTAAATCTCCAGCCCGATATTGCAGTTCTATAATGAGTTTTTGAGCATAAATGAATTTTAAGTAGCTATTTTACCCCAAGAACCAGAAACTTTCAATGTTGGTGTTTTTGCTTTGTCTGAGACAGTCTTGCTGTGTAGTTCAGGCTGGCCTCGAACTTGTGACCATCAGGCCTCAGCCTCCTGATTCACTGTTCTTGGGCATCATAAGAAACGCATTTCTCACACTTAAACACTTAGAATAGTTGCTTAGTGTTGTAGGTAATCATCCACACTTGTTAACATGGAAAGAAGAGCCTGTGTACTTTTTCTTTTCCTTTGGTACCAAGGATTGAACTCACGACTTCGTGTTTGCCAAGCAGGCACTTAAACTGCTGAACTAAACCCCCGGCCTTACTTGGGCATTTTTATTGATTAGATAGATATTGCATATGCTCCTACCTATATATTTGCATATATGGTCACATAAGGGCATCCATGTCAAAAGTAGATACTTTTGTATTCATTTAAAGGAAGTGTCTTCTAGAGAGAAAGGCGATGGTAAATTCAAAATACAACCATTGGATTTTTTTTATTGTGCCATATCCATAATTAATTTAGTTCACCAGAGTGTCTCTGCAATTAAAACACATTTTCTATGATATAATCTTTCTCAGAGAATTTCTGTTTAGCTGGGCGTGGTGGCTCACGCCTGTAATCCCAGCACTAGGGAGGCTGAGGTGGGAGGATTGTAAATTCGAGACCTGCCTGGGCTACAAAGTGAGCTCAAGGTCAGCATGAACTGCATAGCGAGACCTCTTCTCAAAAAAAGACAAAAAAAAAAAAAAAAAAAAAAAAAAAGACTTCTTTCTGTTTCATGAATGTTCTTCAGACAAAATGTTATGTGTTCTGTGACTTGAGAGAGATGGAAAGCCTTCAAAAGAAAAAGCAAAATTTATAAATAAGCTGTAAAATAGAGATTGCCTGTGAAGCACATTTCATCAATTCTAAAAACTCTTACTCTTTTTTTAAATTGAAATTTTTCTAACTAGAGGTGTGTCTTACTTTGGTGTCTTGTAATTGACAGTGGCTTTTCATTTTTTTGTTTTTTGGTACAAAAGATAGTGATGCATCTTAAAATTGATAATGTCGAGTCTACAGAATATTTGTGCGTATGTGTTTGGGTTAAGTGTTTGTTAAACAAGTTGCTCAATGTTTGTATTTATGAAGACTATAGACCCAATATTTTTTCCCTTATGTTTTCATGTTTTGGAAAAATTTTTTTTACATAGGAGTAAATCTGATATTAAGCCTTTAGTATTTTAATATATTTTCATTAAATCTTACTAGATTGATTATATATAATAGTATAAATGATATTAAGACAATTTTCATTTTATAAAACTTAATATGTGTGCTATTTTAGTGTTTATGGCAAAGTGATACAAAATATTTTCATGTTTTTAAAGTATTTTTAGTAATAATTTTTAAGCAATTGTATAGCTGTTATCCTGAATCTGATGTGTTTTTTACAAAGCGATACCATATTTTTGTTTTTGCTTTTTTTAGAGTCTTACATTTAAAGAAAAAGTAACGAGCCTTAAATTTAAAGAAAAACCCACAGACCTAGAGACAAGAAGCTATAAGTATCTTCTGTTATCCATGGTGAAACTGATTCATGCAGATCCAAAGCTTTTACTTTGTGTGAGTATTTTTATAAAACTGGTTGAAATTGTTACAATTTTATTTGAACTGAAATGTCAAGACCTTAAAAATAATTGTTACTGGAAGAAGAATTACTGTTCTTTCTGATTATACCTGAAACCTAAGATATTCCTAAGAAAATTAAAGAGACTACTGATACAATCAGGTCATAGTTCTTAAGCTTTCTTCTTAATTTCCCTTATTAAACTAATTTTAGTGACATTATCTGTCCTTACTCTGTTACTAGGTTATGAATTATTCAGCCATAATCTTGGGATAGAGGTTGGGGAGAGGGGACAGGTAATGAAGCAACCATAAATCAGTGCTTTCTACATCAACATCATTTTCTTTCTAATCTTTATTCGCTGTTGCCAAACAGTTTAGCTTTCTGTCCCTTTTTATTTTCATCATTCTTCTATTATCATTGGCTTTACCTGCAAATACCATATTGGGAGAAGGAGGTGGCAGTGGGTGTTGATTAGTGTTCAGTTACTGTTATAACTCTACTTTTACCAGCCTAGGTGGTATTAGAGTGCTGAGAACATCACTCTGGTATGCAGAGTAATTAGGAACTAATGCAAAATGAGTGATAGTTACTTGAAGTGAGTAAAAGCAGGGACTCTGGAGACACACTAATTACTAGCTAATTTATTTAAACTCCTTTATGCCTTAGGTTTCTCCTCTGAATTACTGGAATAATAATAGTTCCTACCTCAGAGATCATTAAGAAGATTGAAATAGTACCTGTAAGGTTTTAAGAAATAATTTCTGGTAGATTATAATAAAAACTAAAGAAATATTACCTATTGTTACTATTAAGAAACAGCATTAATACTGTTAAGGCCTCAGATGTAGTAAATCTTAATTGTGAAGTTCATAGAATAACATATTCCACCTTTGTCAAGTTTCTCAAGTTCCTGCAGAGTAGCTTTGAGCAGGGTTTGTTATTGCTTTATTCAGTAACAGGCTTTTAAAAATCCTAGGTTTTCAACTTTGATGGTATGTTTTACCAAGTATTATAATGTAGAGGTTCTTAATTAGGTGTTTTTTTGTTTGTTTTGTTTCAAGAGTTCTGTGAACCCTTGAATTAAAAAGAAAAGTATATGTGTAATTTCGAAGAAATGAAAATACATGGGGGAGGGAGAAAGGGAGAAGACAGAGAATCAATGAATGAATGAATTTCCAAGGATTGACATATTAAAGAGAAGGCCTGTGATACTTTGAACTTTTTGAAAAGCCCATCCAAATTCTGGAGTTTATCACAATCTTAAATTACATCTATAGCTTGGAGAAAATTGTTGAAGTTTGTCAGGTGAGACTCTGAAACTAATGAAATGCCCTTTCTCCTTGTTTCATTGTTACATGGCACAAGTTACGTGGTTTATTTCACCATGTATATTCTATAATGTTAGCATCACTTTTCTTTTTACATGGCTATAATTGAGATTGAAAGAATGCTACACCAAAGTTTCTGGTGTCTTAAGTTAAATATATATTACTTGACTAACAGAGTTAAAGCAAAATTTGCTGTTTTCTAAGGATCGTAGAAATTATTTTGTTTGCTGCCATCTAGTGGTTAATATTCTTCAATGTAAATAAAGGTATATAAATACTGATTTCATTTTAAATATTATTTAAATTCATTTTATTATTTTGTATTTCACATATCAAAATTCGAAATCTTAATTAATAGGTGCAAAGTAAGGATAATTTTTAAATGGCCTCAGTCATAATATATTTAAAGTAATGTGATTTTATTTTGAATTTTTAACCATCTCCTTTCTAATCCATGTTACTTTCAATTTTTCAAGCCTTAATTGCTTACTCATTGTCATTTCTTGCACCATCCTTAATGATTTATCTGGACTGAAGTTTTACCAGTCTCTTTAAGAAACAAATCTTATCATACCGTCTGCCCATCTTCAAATATTATCATTAACTTCCAGACATATTTAAATTTCTCCTTTGATTTTCTCTTTGACCCTTTGGTTGTTTAGCAGTATGCTGTGAATTTTCCAAGAGCTTTTACCTTTTCCAAATGTCTTCTGTTGTTGATTTTTTATTTTTCTTGCACACTGTGATAATTTACGATTTGTGGTTGCTTTGCAGTGAGACGGGTAGAGAATGGAAGGTGTTAAATGAGTAATGGTAGGCACTCAGGGGAAGTCTGAAAGGAAGGCTGGAGCTGGGTGATGGGAAAAGAGTGGTGTGAGGCCGGATTTTACTGAAATACCTTTATTTGAGTTGAAGGTTTACTGTTGAGGGTCTTCAGGGGATATTTTGTGGGGGCATGGGTGAGATATGAGTGAAAAAGAGTTCACTTTGTGATTGAGGAAAGTTATGTGGTTATCAGAACTTGTTGTACAAAGGACCGTAGCTAAGTAAGATATAGAAGAGCCAAAGGCTTAGTATGGGAGGCTTGAGGGATTATACTAGTGAAGATCGGAGTGACTGGAAGAAAGCTGAGTGTGGGAAATTTAAAAACGTAGGAAGAGTTTACAAGTTTGAAAAAAAAACAAAGAAATACGTTAATAATATCACGGGGTTTGAGGTGAAGAAACTGGTTAAAGAACTGAGATGAGGGAGGGATCCTAGACACCTATTAAAACCAATGCAAAAACAAATATACAAGAGTAACAAGCTAACAAACATGTGAAACTATGAAAGAATGTAACATGACCCCTGTCACTAAATAACTCAAACATGCAGAAACTTCAATGAGATGTTTAATGGTAACACAGATTAGATTAGATAGTTCATTGAGGGTCCGCATATGTGATTCCCAAGTAGCTTCTTTGATGGAGTCTGAGTGTTCATAGCCTGATGACTCCTCTGAACCTTCCACTGCAACACTGAAGTTAACTGAGATTCAGAACCTCTTTCTACCAGGTCGCAGGCGTTCTTGCAGAGTTTGACTGAGTTGAGTTCTTGGGTTAGGAACTCTTGTTGTCCCTCTCCTGGGGTGTGATGGTGGGTTTGGTAGACAAGTTCACTGGCACTGAATTGTCCTGAGCCAGGATAATTCCTGTGCAATCAGTTCAACTGCAGCAGCAACAGGCTAATCATTACAGTAGTATTTACCAGGGCCTGTTGAGAAATAACACTACCACAGCACACTCCTTTGAATCTCCCTTAAGCAATGAGAACATGGTGCCGATGTGAGCTTCCAGTCCTAACTCAGGCTGAGACTGACCACAGGAACAAAGTCTTTGATCACCAGACTGCCAGCAGTCTCTTATGACTGTCCTTCCCTCTTCTACTCTGGGAACTTGGCAGTATGGAGCAGCCAAGGGGCTGTTTTGGGACAAAGGTTCAAACACCCAGCCTTTTCCTACAATGACATCCCTACCACCCACTGCTCCTTGTGATTGTCCTTGGGCATTTGTACTGCAGTCAGAGGGCTGCTTGGGAAGCAGCGTCTTGGATTCTTTCTGCCGTCTCTAACTGTGTAGTATTCGCCTGGTTCTGATGCATTCTCTGTGAGCAGAGAAGCTGTTAGTTTCACCTTTGTCTCTAAGTGGGCAGCTGGCCAGCCATTATCTGTGGCACTGTGATTTTTCATCTGTGGCATCATCCACCTCTTCGGTATCATTTAATCCTATTTTTTTTTTTTTCTCTTGTCAGTTTCCTTTTGGACCCTGTCTACCCTCTCTTCACTTCAGTTCCTCTTCAACCTGTTGTTTTGCAGACTCTAGATATTCTGAAGAAGCTGAGTTGCTCAGACTCATATTCTGTCTTGTCGTCAGTGGTTTTTTAATATATTTATGAAGCTTTGAAACCATCACCACTAATTCAAGAACATTTTCATCACTCCTATGAGAAATCTAGTATCCATTAACAGTTGTTCTCTAGTTCTTCCTCCTTATAATCCTTGTCAGTTGATTTGATTTTAAATTGAAATCTGCCTTTTTTCCTGTAGAATCCAAGGAAACAGGGTCCTGAAACTCAAGGCAGTACAGCTGAATTAATTACTGGGCTTGTCCAGTTGGTCCCTCAGTCACACATGCCAGAGATTGCTCAGGAAGCAATGGAGGTAAGGAGAAAATAAATTCTAGGCTCTTGAAGGAAAGGTATTAAATGTGTATCTCTTCCCCCCTCTTTCCTTTTCCCTATCTTCCCCCTTTTCTTCTCCTCCTCTTTTTTTTTTTCTTTTGTATGTATATTTTATGTTCCTTTGGTATGTGGGTTTTTTTGTCTTCCATATTTGAAGTATTTTGTTGTGTTGAGGATTAGTACAGACATTTCACTTTGTACACAACTCTTAACACACTACCAAAAAGTCTAAAAAGCCAGGTGTTGTTTCTTTTTCAGTTATTCCAGTGACTTTCCAGCTTCAGCTTTGGAGGCAGCTTTTTAGTAAGAGGACTCAGTACCAGTATCTTCCAATGCTGATAAAGTGCTACTTACGTCCCATTGACTCACAGTTTCGTGCCATATACACCACGTGTTCAAATTTTTGATCTTCTACAGCACATTAACAAAATTAGGCAAACTTGATTACCACGACCAATGGCATTATGAAGTGCACACGATTCTGACAGGCAACAATCAGGAAGTAGTTTTCTTTAGGAAACAATTCTACTAAGAACAGCATTGAGATAGAAGTTATTTAAAACATCCAAGACATAGTAAATTCATGATTATGATTCCAAAAATGTTATTTAGTATGCTTCGTATTGCGGGATATAAAACTAACCCCCAACCGTGGAATGTTAATCTGACACCCAAGACACTCAAAGCCTGCCATGATTCAGTATCGCACTATTTTCTGGTTGTACCAAAAAATGTACAACCAGCGAATGATTTCACCTCTAAAAATAAATCATTTACATTTAAAAAAATGTGATGAGGTGGGATTTCCTCTTTTTAAAAAATGTTTCTAGAGCTACTAAAAATCTTGAATTTACAAAATAATTGATAAAAATATTCCTCTGGATTGTACAAGAATGGAGCCAAGCACCTCTGAGAAGACATGGTATGTGGTGAATCCCAACTTCTTTTTCTTCTGCTGGAATATGGTTTTTTGAGTAATAGATATCACTTCGTGCCATACACTGGTGTATAAATTCCCTGGAGAAAGAACAGTGAGTCTGTGTTTTATGCTGTAGATAACAACACTACAGATCTTTTTTTTTTTTTTCTTTTGAGACCGTGTCTGGCTGTGTTGTCCAGACTGGTCTTGAACTCCAGGTCTCACATTATCCTCCTGCTTCAGCCTTCCAATTAGCTGGGATTGTAGATGTGTACCGCTGTACCAGTTTACATCGTGCAAATTCTTACACTTAATAAAAATGTTCAAAATTTTCCAACTGTAGCAAAACTTTGTAGTATATATTGATTTAAAAGTGGAGATATAATCCACATGCCATGAAGCTCCGTTTAAAGTTTTTAGCAGTGTCACAAAGTGATGTATCTACAGCCCTTAGGTCCAGAGCATTCCAGATGGGAACTCTGCAATTCTCCTATTCCTCCATCCTGTCCTTCCACTGGCAACTTACTTGCTTTGGTTTCTGTGAATTGGTTATTTTATGGCTGACTACTTTGACTTCATATTTTCAAGGTTTATCCATGTTGTGGCATGAGTCAGTAATTCATTCCTTGTTTCTTTCAGATACTCTATTCATTTTTTTTGGTTATTGTTTTTTTATCCTCTATTCCTCATTTGAATTGATTCATCTATTTCATCTATACATAGTTGAATTTTGGCTTTTTTTCTGCTATTGGCTGTTACGAGTAATGCTGTTATGAACATTTATGTAAAAGTATTTATATAGACATTTAGGTATGTAAGGTTAGAACTATGTAATTTTATATTCATCTTACCAGTGTATGGTGGCTCTAGTGTCTTTCCTTCTTTGTCTACAATTACGATTTGTCTGATTTTAATGCCTGGTGGGTATGAATCAGCTGTGTAATTCAGACAAGCCTCAAGCTCCCAGCAAAGCCATCCTCCAATTTGTTGGGGTTACAGGCCTGCACCATCATACCTGGTGCATCCAACTTTTTATTTTTTAGCTGACTTTTTAAAAAGTTTTATTTCCACAATGATTACTTGATAAGTACAGTTTTAATTAAATAAAATCTGTAGAAGCATAATTTTACATTAACAAAATCATAAGATTTGAATATTTCTCATTAACACACAGAGTTCCTCTTTTATATTAATACTGCCATTCTTGTCCTACACAACCACTAATCTGATTTCTGTTATCACTGTAGTTTAGCTTTACAGTTTGAATTTATATTACTGGAATCTCAGCAAATGTATCCTTACTAATCTTGCTTCTTTCATGCAGCAACTTTTTCTGATTCATATGTTGCTGATGATATGTATTGAGGATTATATTTATTCACATGTTGATGGGCACTTAGGTGAACATATTTGTTACTGCAAAACTTTGCCTTATACTACTTTGTCTTTCTTCTTCCTACTTTCCATCTCTACCTGCCCCCCTTGCTTCCTTTGCAATCACTGATTTGTTTTCTGTTACTGTATATTGTTTTGTTTTGGTCCAACTGGAGATTAAATAACCCAGGATTCCATGCATGCTGGGCAAGCACTGGGGCATTAAGCTCTCCCCAGGCTGTTTTTTGTTTTTGAGACAAAGTTGCCCAGGCTGACCTTTAGTTTTATCATTCTCCTGCTTCAGTTTCTTGAGCAGTTGGGATTAAGTACAGCCCTTTGTCTGACAAGTTTGCATTTTATATAAATGAATCATGAAACACTCCTTTTTTGTATGTATTTTCTAATTCAACATAGTGTTGTGTCAAATTCATTCATTTTTTAAAAAAAAGTTCATTCCATTTTATGCTGTACAGTGTTCATTGTGTGAATATAACACAATTTGTTTACCTCTTTATCTGTTGATGGACATTTGTGTTCCCAGTTTCTGGCTATTACGAATCAAGCTCCTGGAAACTGCATTTGGTGGTACATGCCTATAATCTCAGTGCTCAGCAAGCTGAGGCAGGAAGATAGCCATGACTTCAAGCCAGCCTGAACTACATAATGAGACCCTATCTCAAAAACCAAAACAACAATAAAGCTTTTAAAGAACACTTATATACAAGTCCTTTATGTAGACAGGTGCTTTCATTTTTCTTGGATAAATATCTATCAATGCCAAAAATTTTATTATATGGTCTTTGCAAGAGATATATGTTAAATATAAGGGTATTAGAAGATAGTACAAGAATAAAATATATGACATACTAATACAAGAAGGCTAGTCATACATAAATACATAGTTTAAAGTAGGAAACATTACTGGAGATGAAGAACATGTTATTATAGAGGGACCAGTCAATCCAGGAAACAAAGGTCTGTATAAAACTAAGCACAAAGCTTCAGAATATACAAATCAAAATATATAAAGTGAAATGATCATATACTATAATCTTTTTGATACTATATGTCAAAATATATAACATACAAGGTACTGTTTCAAGTAGAGTAGGCTACTTAAACATAACATTTCTTGAAGTCTGATTAGACAAACCAGAGAAACAGTGCATGTGGGGATGGGTAAGAAATAAAATATTTGAACAACACAGTTATCCAATTTTGACCTACTTGCATGTGTAGAATACTATACTCAAGTACACATAGAACTTTCTTTTCAAGTACAATGGAAAATGTTCATTACGACCGTGAAGCAGAAAAACTAAAAGCAAACAAAACAAAAAGCCCACCCAAAAACCAAAATAAGCACCCTGGAAGAAGCCTTCCCGGATAGCTACATTTGCTACCTAGCCTGCTTTCCTCACATCCTACCCTTAATAAAAACCCCAACCTCTTATCCTAATCTCGTGATTCCTCTCTTGGACATTGACTTGCTGTCCCCTTAACAGTATACTCTGATCTGAATAAACAGCAAATTGGTAAATTCTTTTATCAGCTGTATCACTGGCCATCTGGCATGGCAATAACCACCATTAACAATTAATTTGCAGTATGTATTAAAGCTTAACATATGACCTAACTGTAGAGCTGATAGAAATGCTTATAACCAGTAATGCATGCAAAAACTAATGGTGTAATTTTTGTGATAGTTCTTTCCAACTGGAAATGAATGTATTAACAGGATAATGGAGATACATAGATTTGTGAGAAGTCATTTGGCTATTCCATGCTTCAGTATGTGAATGTTTAGGAAAAGTATTTCAGTATTCATTTGTATCCATTGCCTATATTGTGTATGTTGCTATTGGCCCTACAAATTAGTTCACTTCTTACATTTCTTTCTTTGTTTTTTTTTTTTTTTTTTGTCTTTTTCTTATCAGTACCGGGGATCCAATTCATGACTGCCTGCTTGCAAGGCAGGTGTTTATGCTGCTGAGCTAAATCCCCAGCCCCGCATTTCTTTTTTTTTTTTTTTTTAATCGGTACCAGGGATCGAACTCATGACTGCCTGCTTACAAGGCAGGTGCTTATGCTGCTGAGCTAAATCCCCAGCCCTCTTTGTTTTTTTTGAAACAAGGTTTCACCATTCAGTTCAGGTTGGCCTTGAACTCATTTTGTATTCCAGGCTGGCCTTAAACTTGCAGTGATTCTTGAATCTTCCTCAGCCTCCCAAGTGCTAGGATTATAGGCATGTGCCACCACACCTGGCTTGTGCATTCTTTTTGGAAGGCCATGTGACAGTATTTGGTAGGAGCTGTTCACATATCTCAGTTGTTTCTGTCCAAATAATTTAGTTACTGTAATTTTTTCTTATGCATACAGTTTATACAGAAAAAAGCTGCACACATAGATGCTTATTCCTCTTTTACAGTAGAAGAATATTAAGAGAATTTTAATTATTCACTATTAAGAGCATGAGTTAACATTTGGTAATAAATGAATAGTATTTCAATTTGAAGGGCTATTAACCAGTAAACCTATGTGGATTACTTTGCAATATGAAAAAACATAAGATATCATGTGAGTTTACAGCACATGATGGTGTTTTGGTCAGAAGCAGACCTCATATCTGATGGTAGTCCCATCAGATTATATCATTTAGTGATGTTGAAAAGTATACTTCCTGATGTTGGCAAAACGGAACTAACCTAATACCACATTTCTCAGAATCGCTCCCTATTAATGCACATTTGACTGTATGTGGAAAATTAAATAGAAAGAAGAGAACATGAAAAGGAAGCCAGTAATGTTAGGATGGGGAAAAGGCTAGCAGCAGTTTCTACCCTGATTGCAGTTTTCACTGAGTACCTGGATGTGTTTGATTAGCAGGTGAGGGAACGAGCTTCACACATTGAGATTAGCCTGGGCAACTTGGTGACTTAGTAAGACTGTCTCAAAATTAAAGAAAAATTGCCAAAGGTGATAGTGCATTCCTGCAATGTCAACACACTATAGAAGACTGAGGCAGGAGAATCACAAATTTTAAGCCCAGCCTAGGTAAAAGGAGACTTAACAAGACCTCATTTCAGAATAAAAAATTAGGGCTAGAGATTTAGCTCAACAGTATAAGTACCTGCCTGGCAAGTGTGATGTTGTGAGTTTGACCCCTGGCACCAAAAATTAATTAAATTAGTTAATTAATTAAAAATTAGAAAAGGCTGGCTGGGGGATATAGCTCAGTACAGAAGCCTAGGGTTCAGTTCCTAGTACAAGAAAACAAAACAAAAAAAAAAAACCTCTATTTTTTCCTTTTTTGGATTGGGGTCTCACTATGTAGATCAGGCTGGTCTCAGATTCCTAGCAGTCCTCTTGCTTCAGCTTCCTGAGTGCTGGGATTATAGACATCTGCCACCCCGTCTGGCTGACGCAGACACAGTTTTTTAAATGGGTTGGAATGTAGCTCAGTACGAAGGTCCTGGGTTCAATTCCCAGTATCCCTATTCTCAAAAAATAACATAGGTCTGGATTTTTATATAATTTATAACTTTCAAAGTCATAAAGTTGACCAGGATTAGACATTTACATATCTTTCTCCTAATGTAAAACACGTTACCAGTGTAGTTATTTGCAGTTCATGCACTTAGTTTGATTTTAGGAGAAAAAAATCACTTCTCATTATTTGTTTTAAACAGTGTTCATTGGAGTTTTAATAAAAGACTTTAAGGGGAATAAAGAATCCTTACGTATGCTGACCAAGGACTAAAAAATATGTAGTTTATCAGTGTGTGTTGGGGTAGGAAGGGTAAGGAAAGCATTGTAGAATTAAAATAGGGTAGGTTTGAAGGAACAATCTACACTTTATCCTTTTGTTGGTTTTAGTTTATATAACAATATTTGTATGGTACTTATTTATTTAAAAATTAATGAATTCCTATTAATCCTCTCTGAGCCAGATTCTAATTGAGGCCTATGCTAAGTTGAAAAACATGAATAGCTTGTTGTGAAGGGCATAGTTTGTTTTACTTGCCCATTTTTCAATTTCAAAAGACAGCTCTTCTGTCACAAGAGATTTTGTGGCAAATGAGATACTTTTCACTCTTGTCTTTCACTGATATGTTAATTTTGGGGAACATTCCTTGATCTAGGGGGTTATTGTTTGTTAAAATAATTTGATTTCTTTTTCTTTTTTGAGACAGGGTCTCATTAGGTAATGCAGGCTAGCCTTGAACTTGTTTACGTAGCCCAGTCTGACCTGGAACTCACCTGGTGGTGATCCTCCAGCCTCAGCATCCCAAGTGCTGGGGTTACCGGCATGCACACCATGCCTGGCTAGTAATTGGTTTCTTAGTGCCATTTTTATGTGTATGTATTTGTTCTGAATTTATCAGCCCTTTACCTTTATATATGCATATTGTTTAAGGATGACAGAAATGATTTTATTCTATATATGTTATTCTCTAGAGTTTTGTGTTCTCTAGTGTTTTTCTTTTTTGCCTCTAGTCTGTATCTAGGCTACAGTTACATAGCTCATTTTGTTAGTAGCATTTGTAAAATAAATGCCTCTGTTATTTTTTCAAGAAATGTTTTGAGTGGATTATCTGTCTCTGTCTTTTTATAACTCAGGCTTTGCTGGTTCTTCATCAGCTCGACAGCATTGATTTATGGAATCCTGATGCTCCTGTAGAAACATTTTGGGAGATTAGGTATATATGCTTTTTATTTTTTAATTCAATTTTAAAATTTAGTTTTATATTCTTTTTCTTCAAATAGTAACTCTACAATACTTAGTTCATTATATAACTCTTCACTTATATAAGGTTTTGTGATTTTTGTATTTTACTTTACTTGATCTTACTAGAATTTTAAAATTTCAACTGTAAGAACAATGTCATAGCAGTGGGGGAAATAAATTCTTAAACTAATGTTAAGTTTTACCATCCAACTATCAGCACTTGTTTCGTATAACTTGTTTTCGTTTTTTAAAACTGATCTTTCATACATCCTTCATAATAACAATGCTCAGTGATGGACATGTGCTGAGAAGGCAAAATACACATACAGAATTCTATTGTCTGTTTCCTGAGTTGCATAATTATCTCTTAATGAGCATAAAGGCACCTTACCAAGGAAGATGTAAGTGAGGAAGCCTCAAGTTTTGCCATTATCCTATTGTAAAATGCGTGTGCAGAGACACTTGGAGGCTAAGTTCTAACCCTCAGCATTGTTCTCTGATAATAATATAATGTGAGCCACAGAAGTAATCAAATTACCACATTATAAATTAAAAAGAAGCAGCTAAAGTTAATTTTTATAATATGTTTTAATTAACCCAGTATATATACATGTCTGGAATATTATAATTTCAAAATATAATCAGTATGAGTTGTTAATGAGATAGTTTATATTCTTGTGTTCACAAAGTCCTCACAACTTGGTGTATATTTTAATGTACAGCACGTCTCAATTTAGACAAGCCGTGTTTAAAGGGCTCAGTAACCACATATGGCTGGCTAGCATCTGTTTAGTTGGACAGTAGCTTTAGACTGGTGTCAGAAACTTGTTCTCTAGAGGGTCAGATAATAAAGCGTTTGGTTCCTGTAGATCATCCAGTTTCTGTATTCAGTCACTGTTGACTGCTCCTTGTGTAGCCAGAAAGCAGCTGTGGACAACATGTGAATAAGTGGATATGACTATATTCATTAAAACCATTTTAAAAGCCAGTGGTGAGAGGGGAGGGAGTAATAAAGGAGAGGAAGAGGAAATAAAAGGAATTAAGATGTAGTATATAGATGTACCAACTCTCTACAATGGATGTAATCATTCATGGACTAACAAAAATCTAAAAATTAAAGAAAAAGCAAAGTGATGGGCTGTTTTGACCTAAAGGTGGGGATTTGTAGACCCTGCACTATATCACTAGGTTTATGTACAGCATGTTGTTCGAGTGATTTATCGTTTCTTTTCATGCCCATTGCAAGACATGGGATACTTGAATAAAACTCTGGAAGTTCAGGAAATAAGGGGCTTATATTTATTACTTTTTAATTATTACCTATAGACTTCTTTGTATATGCTGCTATTAACCAGTTGGATGATTTCTCTAAAACCCTGCAAGGGAAACTAAACTTTTCTCAATAGATGTCTGACATAAAGGAATGTGATTCTCCTGAACTGATTATATCTGTGTTAGATTGTTTATTGATGATGCCAATAACAATAAACTTTTGTTACTGCAGTTCCCAAATGCTTTTCTACATCTGCAAGAAACTAACTAGTCATCAAATGCTTAGTAGCACAGAAATTCTTAAGTGGTTACGAGAAATTTTGATCTGCAGGAATAAATTTCTTCTTAAAAACAAGGTAAGCAAAAGAACATCTTTAAAATTGAAAGAATATTCACAATAGTAATGGGACAGATTATTAGCCAGATTAGTTCTATTTCAGTTCTTCCCTCCTTAGTCACTATGAGAAATACATATGTTAAGGATAGTGGCTGATTTTTTAAAATCTGAGGCTTTCACCCTAACACTGTAACGCTGGAGATTTCTAGTTGACTTAAATAGGACTGTTTGGGGCAGGCCTAGGAGGAGTGGAAGCTGCTGTAACTGAAGCAGCCTGAAGAGCACATTCTCTCTTTATTCTCAAGTCCATATGTAAAGTTTGATCTTGTGTCTAGGACAGTCTAGGAAATGTTGCCTATCAAGAAGCTGAAGGTCCTTAGTAGCCAAAGAGGGGGAAAAAGCCCTGAAGGACAAGGTCCTCCGTTAAGTTTATTTATAGTCTTTCTATCGGGATTTCTCCTTTTGGAAAGATCAAGTGTTTCCTTCCTTAGGTTGCGGTAACTTTTTTTCTTTAATCCCAAATGATTAAGACACAGAAGTTGTGAGGAATAGTAAAGACCTTTGCATTTCTTTTAACATACAGTTTCTATAGCTAATTAACTTAAAAATTCTCCTGGTGTGGGGTAGTTTTAGGAGTTCTTGATTTAGTGAGTTTTAATGCAGTTCTAGAATCATAGCTGTGAGAAATCTTAAATGTGTCCAACTCATACGCAAACATATCTTGTTAAATTTTTGGCTTCAGATGTGCTAAATGGTGAGGGAGTTTATTTATATCTGTCTTATGTTGATGTGTTATAATAGTGGAACTTTAGATTATTCTAATGGTAAAGAAAGAGATTAGACTTCAGAGTTTTGTGCCCTTACCAATGGAATAATATCTAAAGTACAAACATCAGTAAGAAATCTAAAGTACTCTGGTTAGCAAAGTCACTGGTGACATAGTTGATACAACATTTTATATCATAAGAGTCAACTTCCAGTATTCTGACATAGTATAGGATAAAATCCTATGGGAGAAAATCTTTATTATTTATGCAGTACTTGATTGAGATTTCAATAGTTTCACACAGTAGATTTATTTATTTAGGTACTGGGACTCACAGGCTTGCGGGGCAGGCACTTTGCCAATAAGCTGTATCCTGGCCCTAGAGTTACATTGTTACTATTTAACTTGTGTCCATGTTAGACTTAATTAACTTGCCTGTCTTTTTTTTTTTTTTGAGACAGGTTCTCTCTATGCAGTTCAGGCTGGCCTCGAGTTCACTATGTAGCCCAGGCTGGCCTTCAGCTTGAAGTGAACCTCCTGCCTCTCTCTGAAGTGCTGGGATTAGAGGCCTGTGTGGCCACGACACCTGACTACTTCCATTTCTTGTCTTTATTTGGTTCTTTAAAACGGGGTTTCACTATGCAGTTCAGGCTGGCCTTAACTCACTTTAGAACCAAGGTTTGCCTCAAACTTGAAGTGATCCTCCTGCCTCAGCCTCCTGAGTGCTGGGATTATAGGCATGCAGCACCATATCTGCCTACTTGCGTTTCTTGAATTTGGTATTTTTAATGAGTTGAAGAAAACAAGGTTCAGAGAATTTTCAAAGACATTGAGCAAATATTTGTCTTTATGAGTTTCTAACAAATGTTTCTCAAGACGAAGCATAGGGATTGAGAAGATAGGCTTTGCAGGATAGTCTTAAAGAGGAAGACAACTCGTATTAAGCATTTATTTTTCTTGGTTGTCAGGGCTGTTAGAGCTTATTTATTTCTTTTTTCTAGCAGGCAGATAGAAGTTCCTGTCACTTTCTCTTCCTTTATGGAGTAGGATGTGATGTTTCTGCTAGTGGATCTGCCACCCAGATGTCCATGGATCATGAAGAATTACTACGTGCCTGTACCCCAGGAGCGTCTCTGCGAAAGGGAAAGGGAAACTCCTCTATGGTAAGTAGCCTCTCTTGCAATTTCCCACATCATCTGTGTTCTGTTTACCCAGCCCAAAATGAACTTGAATAAATTTCAATTAGGTAATTTAACATTGTTAAAAAAACTGCTTGGGGGCCAGGGATGTAGCTCAGACACACAAGCACTTGCCTGGCTAGCATGAGGTTGTGAGTTTGATCCCCACTTCCAAAAAAGAAAAACTGCTTGAGTTCTAGGCAGTGCAGTGGCAGCAGTGAGGGAGGCTGAAACAAGAGGATTGTAAGTTCAAGTCCCACCTGGGCAGCTTAGCCAAGCCTGTTTCAAAATAAAAATGAAGAAAGGGCTGGGATGTAGTTCAGTGGTAGAGTGCCCACTGCCCTCAATACTGTTTATATTTATATTTTTGTATCATTGGTCTTCATGGAACCTTAGGCAGGTTTTTAACATTTCTGTGCCTTAGTTTCTCAGCCTTAAAATAGGGATAATACTCATTGCCTCAAAGTTGTTAGGATTAAATGAGATCATTGATTGATTGACACTATAACTATAGCTATAATTATAATTCTCCATCCTATAAGACTGTTCATATCTAGACATTGAAAATTAAGCAATATGATATTTACTGTTATATGCTTTACTTGCTAAATTTACATTTCTTTTATAAATGAGAGTTTCCATTTCATGTTTTGGAAATAATGTAATTCAGAATCAAATGTATCATCTGTTGCATTATTTAGTTTTGTTTGTGCTTAATTTAATCAGTGTTAAAATGTGCCTACTTTATTTCTTTCCTCTTGGAAGTAAATGTACAGTTACTTGCTCTTCTTTTGTTATTTCTAATTGATTGGTAAGTGCCTTACATTTTTTCTGAAGTAGCTTTATGATGTGATATTTTAGTTGTGTCTATTGTAGACTTAATTTACATTTCTGGAACCTAGCACAAGGTGACATCTATTTGATTTGAAATTCTACAGTAGTAGCATTATGTTCAGAAATCTTACTTATAACAAGATATGTTTGAAAAAATTCTTAGCATGGTTGAAGAGGAAAGCTTTTATGAGTTTTAAATACTAATAAATATGGTACAGTTTACTGTATTGTTGAGTTTCGTAGATAAACTTACCTAAGGAGAAAATCTGTATCTCTGCTCCTAATGCCCAGGATAGTGCAGCAGGGTACAGTGGAACCCCACCGATATGCCGCCAAGCCCAGACCAAACTAGAGGTGGCCCTGTACATGTTTCTGTGGAGCCCCGACACTGAGGCGGTCTTGGTTGCCATGTCTTGTTTCCGTCACCTCTGTGAGGAGGCAGATATCCGCTGTGGAGTGGATGAGGTATCAGTGCACAACTTCTTGCCCAACTACAGTACATTCATGGAGTTCGCTTCAGTCAGCAACATGATGTCAACAGGTAAGTGCGGACTGTTTTTTGATGTTTAATTCTGCTTTGAATCACGTGGTGTCTAATTGTTTTAAGAATGTAAGAGTAAGATTACTGCTTTCCAACTTTGCAGAGGAAATTCAAGAAGCTTATTTGTAATACATTACTGAACAAGGTAGGATGAAAATAAGTATCATTTGAATCAAATTGTTAGTTTTTTTTTTTTGAGATAGGGTCTCACTATGCAGCTTGCGCTGACCTTGTGCTCACTTTGTAGCCCTGGTCTCGAACTCACAATAGTCTTCTTATCCCAGCATTCTGAGTGCTGGGATTACAAGCACAAATTGTTAATTTTTCACAAAAAAAAAAAAAAAAATCTTTTTTCTTTGAAACAGCATGTCACTGTGTGCCAGGCTGGCCTCAGATTCCCTGCAGTCATCTTGCCTCAGCCTGTTGAGCATATGTGCCATCACTCCTGGCCCTTGTCAGATTGTTAATATGCTATATGTTTGTTAAATAAATAGGAGTGTAAATTACTGTCCATTATAGGTTATATGATATACTCTGCCTAAAATGTGTATGGTGCAGTGCCAAGCACACTGGTAAGCCTTTTAAGTAAATCATTGTGGATTATGTGAAGATAAATACCTTTTCTGTGAGGCTAGTGAGAGAAGTTTTTATCATTTGAAGCATTTGATTCCTCCTGCTCTACCTTTTGAGGGAGGCTTGCCAGGTTTCCCTTTGGCCCATGGTTCTGAGGATAATAACTGGGTTTTCTGTTGGTTTTGCTTAGGAAGAGCAGCGCTTCAGAAACGAGTGATGGCGCTGCTGAGACGCATCGAGCACCCCACCGCAGGAAACACCGAGGTATGCCCTCAGCAACACAAGTGCTGCTCCCTCTCTACCCTCAGTCTTAGAAACCAGTAAATCTGAGTAATCCACATATTACTAGGATAGGTTAAATTCATAGTGTCCTCAACTAGTTATATTTATAATATACGTACTTGTAATATGCTCCATGTTCAAACCCTAGTTGTGACAGTTTTAGCTCTTGGCTTAAACTGTCTTTCAGTATTAATTGCTTTCATTTTAGGCTTGGGAAGACACACATGCAAAATGGGAACAAGCTACAAAACTAATCCTGAACTATCCTAAAGCCAAGATGGAAGATGGCCAGGTGAGTCTGTAAAGTTGATTGTTTATTAATTGACCTCTGAGACATGTGTCTTTCCCTTCAGTAATCTTTGTGAGTCATTGAGTTACGTGGTTGTCTTAGAACTATCAAGTTGTGAATGCATCTGGATCTGCATTGTCTAATGTGGTAGCCAACAGCCATATCTGGCTGTTTACATGAATTTATATTAAATTTTAACTTAGAATAATGAAAGTTAAATACAGTTCAGTTCCTCAGCTGTACGTAGCCATAGCCCTGTTTGACAGTCAGTATGTTGGACGATAGAGATGTAAACTTTTCCATCGTTGCAGAAGTATTGGAAGCACCGCTGGAAAGCATTATATTTCTTTATTTTTTTCTTGTTATTCTTTAGCCAAGGTATTTCACAAAACTTTGAGAGGAAAAACAGGAATATAGGAAAATAAAAACAATTTGTTTTGCTATTTTGTTAGGTATTCTAATTAGAAAATCTAAATGGGTAGAAGCTTCAGAGAAGAGGTTAACTGAAATTTTAAAATTTGAACATTTGTTCAACTATTATCAACTATATAATTTCATTTATCAACTAATTTCAGTTATCCATTATCCCAGAAATTGACAATTATTTGGTATTTGTTTATGTTTGATTGGTATCATTCATGTTGCTCTTTTATAGGTGGTTGAGTGATATTGGTTATTCTCTCATTCCTTTTCTTTTGTCATGCTTAATTAGAACAAGAAAAATTTATGTTTTGTGCAGTAAAATTATAATGCTTAATTATATTATTTGGAGAGGATAGGTAGTTTTTGAATGAAAATCTTTTTTGATAGCTGTTAATATATAATTCACATACCATAAAATTTACTCACTTAAGGAATCTTATGCAGTGATCATTTCTCCTGTATTCACAGAGTAGTGCAACTGTTACACAACTGAGAACATTTCCATCATCTCGAAGGAAGAAACAAAAATTCATACCTTTTAGTTATTTCTTCCCCTAACACCTAATTGTTCTGCCTCTCTGTCCGTACCCCGCCATCTATGGGCACCCAAACTAATCTGCTTTCAGTCTCTGTGGATTTGCCTTTTCTGGGCATTCCATGTAAAGAGGTTAGAGATTATGTGGGCTGTTGTGGCTGGCATCTTTCACTTAACATAATGTTTTCAAGGTTCATCCATGTAAATCAAAACTTTTTCCTTTTTCTTTCTTGGCACTGAGTATCGAACTCAAGGCCTAGCACTTACTAGGCAAGTGCTTGTACCTCTGAGCTAAATTCTCAGCCTAAGTCTAATCTTTTTAGAAATACATTTAATACTCTGGATTAATTAAAAATATCTATGATATTTTTAAGTTTTGCTTTTTAAAATGTAAAATAAGTGCTATTGAAAGAAATGATAAGGAGTAATTTGTCAAGTTTCAGCCAGTCTAGGTTGAATTCATGCTCTCCACAAAAATTTTGTGTTTAGGCTGCTGAAAGTCTTCACAAGACCATTGTTAAGAGACGCATGTCCCATGTGAGTGGAGGAGGATCCATAGATTTATCTGATACAGACTCCCTACAGGAGTGGATCAACATGACTGGTTTCCTTTGTGCACTTGGAGGAGTGTGTCTGCAGCAGAGAAGCAATTCTGGTCTGGCAACCTATAGCCCACCTATGGGTGCAGTTAGTGAACGTAAAGGTTCCATGATTTCAGTGATGTCCTCAGAGGGGAATGTAGATACACCTGTCAGCAAATTTATGGATCGGCTGCTGTCCTTAATGGTGTGTAACCATGAGAAAGTGGGGCTTCAAATACGGAGCAATGTTAAGGATCTGGTGGGTCTCGAGTTGAGTCCTGCTCTCTATCCAATGCTGTTTAACAAATTGAAGAATACCATCAGCAAATTTTTTGACTCCCAAGGACAGGTAAAGTGTTCTCTGCTTTATTTTCACCCTTTCCCTGTAAAGTGATCTTGTTTGAAATAATGCCTTTTTTTTTTTTTTGCAAATTATTTGTTAACTACCTACATGAATATTCACTCACAATTAAAAAAACAAGCAAAAATTTGTAGGAAACAATCATCTAATATAGAAATTAATTTGCTTTTTTGGGAATTCTGGCATTGAGTGTGCCTGGAGGTATGAATATCAAGGGATATGAATGTCTGTGTATCAACATATTTAAGTCTGTATGTGTGTGTGTCTGTGTAAGTAAGACAGACAAGACAGACACGAAGACAGGGAGAAGGATAAGGTAATACTTAGGATAGTCGGTTTCATCTCTGGTTTATCTTCTGTGCATTGACGGTAAGTCACTAATACAGTTTGTCCTTTGTATAGGTTTTATTGACTGACACCAATACTCAATTTGTTGAACAAACCATAGCTATCATGAAGAACTTACTAGATAATCATACCGAAGGCAGCTCTGAACACCTGGGGCAAGCTAGCATTGAAACAATGATGTTAAATCTAGTCAGGTAAGCATTCAGCTACTAAAATGTAGCAGAAAGATATTTTAAGAGGTTAAAAAGAACCTCTTATACATTGATATTGATATTACTGATGAGAAAATTTTTTATCCTTTTGTTCACTGGGCTTAAGGTAAACTAGAAGTTGTGTATGTTCTTACCTAAGTAAAATAAAAATTTTATCATGCTTAAGTTATATTTAGTGATTTTAACTAGAGATTAACGAAAGCATTTGTAGTTCCTCTTTTTTGTCTACACCTGATAAGTTTTTAAAATGTTTCTTTGTCTAAATAGATACGTCCGTGTACTTGGGAATATGGTCCATGCAATTCAGATAAAAACAAAACTATGTCAATTAGTTGAAGTTATGATGGCAAGGAGAGATGACCTCTCATTTTGTCAAGAGATGAAATTTAGGTAAGTTCTCTAAAGAACAAATGAAAGTCTTGTGCTTTTATGTTAAATGGAACACAGAAAAGTAAATTTGTTTTTCCTGGGGAAAAGAGGAAGTGGAAAGAGTATTTTACATGTTGTTTTCTGTGAATATTTTTCTAGATTGCCCAAAACTTTGTGCCTTTGGAAATGTCTTTTTTTTTTTTTTTTTTTTTTTTTTTTTTGAGACGGTGTCTCAATATGTAGCCCATGATGGTCTGAAACTCAGAGAAATCCTGTTGCCTTGGAATGAGAATGTAATTTTTTAAACACTATGTTCTGCCTACACAAGAAATTGATTATTTCCAAAATGGTACTATACTGGAGTGCCGATGCAGAGCACCAATATCTAAGTCATATCTGTGACTTTTTAAAAAAAAAAAAAAAAGCTGTGACAGCAGTATCTTTTTTTTATCAAGTTGACATGTCATCTGGGTTATCTGCTTGCGCTGTTTTAAAAGCTTGTTTAAAATTGTATATTATATGGTTTTTAAAAAATTGTTTGCTATTTCCATCTTGTCATCATTGTATAGGAATAAAATGGTAGAATACCTGACGGATTGGGTTATGGGAACATCAAACCAAGCAGCAGATGATGACGTAAAATGTCTTACAAGGTAAAATAAATAGAATAAAGAGAGAATGATTTTTAAATATTACTAGCCTTTAGGCACTAAAACTTTCATTATAACTATCATACATATATTTTATGTGTAGTTGTTTCTTAGATATTAAGGTTTTGTTTGATGGTGGTTGACAGATTATGGTACTGGGGATTAAACCCACGACCTTGGACATGTTAGACAAGCACAGTGCCACTAACTGTATCTCCAGCCTTTTTGATCTTTTTATTTTGAATAGCGTCTCACAGACTTGCTCAGGCTGGCCTTAAATTTGCAACCCTAATCCTCCTGCCTCCATGTTCCAAGTAGCATGTAGCACCATGATGAGCAACAATATTAGTTTTTGTTACTACTTTTTTTTCTGAAAGACTTAGCAAAAAACAATGTTAAAAAAGTATTTGTTTGGAATTAGTATTGTCAATTTAAGAAGAATAGTTTATGGTTAGTGGGAAGAAAGATGCATAAAGTCTCTTAGATTATATTAATTTTTATAATTAAAGATACAAGTATTATTTGAGGAGCTTAATTATGTAGAGTCTCAGAAGTAATTGCTTTAACAATAAATGTATAAAATTATTTAATAATACTTAATAACGCATATCAAAAAATGAGTGATGAACTACATAAGTATTTGCACAAGTACCTTTGACCAGGGCTACTTTTTTTTTTGTCCTTTTCTTTTTTATTGGTACCGGGGATCGAACTCACGACCACACACTTGTAAGGCAGGCGCTTATGATGCTGAGCTAAATTCCCAGCCCCTGACCAGGGCTACTTTGATTATATATACTTTTGATTAATTAACTGACTGACTTGTTGGGGATCAACCCCAGGGTTTGAGTATGCTAAGCAGGCAGAGTTATAGCACTACCGCCACAGTTTGATTTAAGGTAGTTATGCCAAGCTTACTTTCCAGAAAGTTATCTTCTCGTTGATTCGAAATGATTTTTACGTTTTGGGATCTGCATATTTACTCAGATTACTAAGGCTGTGCTAATCATTCATTTAGTGAAATAGTGCTCACGGTTTATTTGACTAGAAGGATCTGACCATTCATCATATCTAAATTATTTTTATTTAGAGATTTGGACCAGGCAAGCATGGAAGCAGTAGTTTCACTCCTCGCTGGTCTTCCGCTGCAGCCCGAGGAAGGAGATGGTGTGGAATTGATGGAAGCTAAATCACAGTTATTTCTTAAGTAAATTTCAGCTATCAAAAATGCAAAACAAAAACCGAATTTTGCCCCTATTAAGTGTAACCAGAGTAGCTGATTATACTAAGAATTACCATGCTAGTACTGCCAGCTCATAAAATATGCCATCCTAGTGAACATACAAGTCCAAGATGGGAAAACAGCTATGTATTGTGGTTTCTGAAGAAAATGATGTAACCAGTGAAATTTTACTTGTAATAAAACCCAGATTGCTTCATTAAGCAATCGTTAGCTAAACTGGTGGGCCATTAATTTTATGTGTTATTAAAAATGATACATTTATTAGGAAACATTGCATCTATTTCATGCCTATGTTACTTAATGTATGGTAGAATTTTTAAGATAAAAATCATGCCTAACATACCAACATCATTTAAGCTATCCTGACTGATTGCCCCAAGACTGGAGAAAAGCAAACACCGAGGGCCACTCAAATGATACGGATATGGTTACTTCAGAATGTCTGATTAGCTTTGTGGTTGTTGTGACTTTTATTCTTAAAGTCTGTTCTTTGTGTTTCTTAGGTACTTCACATTATTTATGAACCTTTTGAATGACTGTAGTGAAGTTGAAGATGAAAATGCACAAACAGGTGGCAGGAAACGTGGCATGTCTCGAAGATTGGCATCCCTGAGGCACTGTACAGTACTTGCAATGTCAAACTTACTCAATGCTAATGTGGACAGCGGCCTCATGCACTCCATAGGTGAGCCTGAATGAGAACTCCGAGAGTGTAAAACCCAGAGGGTTGGCATTGTAATACCAGGCAAAACAACTTCAGCAAGGTCATGTTAGTAAATTTGTGTCTTTCTTTTCATACTAGGTTTAGGTTATCACAAAGATCTCCAAACAAGAGCTACATTTATGGAAGTCCTGACAAAAATTCTTCAACAAGGCACAGAATTTGATACACTTGCAGAAACAGTGCTGGCAGATCGGTTTGAGAGACTGGTGGAATTGGTCACCATGATGGGGGATCAGGGAGAGCTTCCGATAGCTATGGCTCTGGCCAATGTGGTCCCTTGTTCTCAGTGGGTAAGTTTTTTGGGCAAGTAGGGAAGAGAGTGCCTAGTACACAACAGATGCTTTACAGTGTTTGTTCAATAATTGTTTATTGGCAGAATTAATAAAATTTAAGCACTTGCAGAAACTTTAGACATTTAGTTGAGTGATTTTCATCTGTGGAGCAGTGGTTGGCACTCCTAGAACTTAGTAATGTTTTGTGTCATTGCACCCTGCTGAAATACAATGGTTTGAAGAGCACTATAAACCATGTGATCCGGTGTTTCCATAAGGTCATGAGACTGTGCTCCCTTTTAGTTATTAGTTATTAGTAACGCTAGAACTGGAACCTACAATTTGTGCCTTTTTACTTCCAGTTTGCTATTCTTTATAATGCCTTGTACAGTTGTATTTTTTAATGTGAAAACTATTTGCACTTGGAAGTATGCTGTTGCTTGTTTTAAACACTGAAGACATGTATGGCTGTTTGGTTTCTCTCAAAATTTTTTCTGAATCCATATCATTCTTAATACTATTTGCTAAAATTTTTAGAAGGATTTTTTTCCTTCCCTTGTTAAAAAAACCACTTGGCTCATAGTTTCTCTCTTTTTCTATCTTTTTTCTTCCCTCTTTTCTTTTCCCTCCTTTCCTCCCTCCCTCCCTCCCATCTGTCTGTCTGTCTTTCTTTCCATCTGTCTGTCTGTCTGTCTTTCTTTCTTTGTGCTGGGGATTGAACCCAGGGCCTCATGCATACTAAACAAGTGCTTTACCACTGAGCTACATCCCTAGCCCAAGTTATTTGGTTCATATTCTACCAAAAAAGACTTAATAGTAAATTCTAACTGATAAAATAATTTGTCATTGCCTGTAGATTTGTTTCTATTTAAAGGTCTGAAGGCTAATATTTATCATACTTAAAGTAAAATTCAGATTGCTGGGAGGTTGGCACTGAGAATTGAACCAGGGCTTTAGCACAGAACTGTTTCCACCTGTTTTAATTTTTGAGCCATCTCACTAAGTTGCTGAGTTACCTTGACTGGGCTTGAGCTTTCATCCTCCTTGCTCAGCTCCCAGAGTGCTAGGATTTTAGGCATGGGCTACCAGACCTGGCATAATTTAAATTCTTTGCCCTGGCCTACAAAGTTGTACCTGATCTTGGTCCTGCTTATCTCTACCTTCCTTGTTATGCCTTCGTATTCCTTTTGTTCACCTAGTTTAAGCCTCATTGTCACCTTTTTGTTTCTCAAATTTGTTATACTTTATTTCTGTCTTCAAGCATCCTTGCTACTTTGCTGCTGCTGTCTAAAATACTTCTCCAATTATTTTGATTTCATTTGACTTTTTTTGTATGAACGTTTAACATGAGCATTTCTTTTAATATATTTTTAATTGTACAATATAGTATTGCTGGCCATAGACACACTATTACAAAGCAGTTCTCTAGAATGTACTTATCTTGAATAATTGAAATTTTATATCTCTGGGTTAGCAATACCCCTTAGTGAAAATTTTTTCATGTATGAAATAAAAAATTTCATTAGGTGACCTTATTTATTTGACACATTATTATACAAAGGAAAATACATGCAGCTACATAAAAAAAAAAACACATTCTAATGCTACTTGAACACAATAGTCAAAAAACAATGAATTGTAGAATAAGCACCAGGATTTAATGGGAAAAAAAAAAAAACCTATAGAAAAGTTTCAGGCTTCTAACTTCACTGATTCCTATGCGCTTCTTTATATTCCTCAGTTTTTCCAGGTCTGTATCACTCTTTAGTGTCTGCTAAAGATGGAAGTGCTAACCTCAGCTGGTAATCTGACGTCATTATTCAAGATTCTTACAGTCTTTCTTTCTCCTTTTTTTCCCTAGTATTTTTATTTGTTTGTTTTTATTTATTTTTGAGGTAAGGTCATGCCATGTCACCCAGGCTGGCCTTGAACTCACTATGTACTCCAGGCTGGCCTCTCACTGTAATCCTCCTGCCTCAGCCTCCTAAGTACTAAAACAATAGGCATGTGCCACCATTTTTCTTTTTTACTTTTAGATTATTATTTGTTAGTATTATTAAATACTTTCCTTATTTTTTCTTTTTTACTTCTAAATTATTATTTGTTTGGATTATTAAATACTTTCCTTGTTATTTCCTCAAATACTCACATATCAGATTGTATATCTAGGTTTAGATCAGTTTTTTTAAGTGGGGATGGAACTCATAGCCTTGTTCTTAACAGGCAGGCGCTGGTGCTGCTGAGCTAAATCCCCAGCCCAGTTTGGGTTAGGTTTGGAGGGCCATTGTCCTGCCTTGGTTGTCACTGCTTGAATAGCTGCTTTTCTTAGAACTATGATTAAAGAGCGATTTGTTGTAAGACATGTTTCTTGAGTATACCAAAAACTACTTTAGTACAAGGAGTTACAAGTTTTTAAAATAGTAGATGGAAAAGGAAAGCAATATATTTAAATATTGGGCATATGCCAGGAGAAGGCCTTCACGTAGAAAGTGTTCTCATTAAGCTATAGTGGCCTAAACTATGGGGCTGTTTCACTCAGTGGTGCTTTTAATTTTCACACTGCCTCAGGGAACTAAACACCAGCTTTGACTTGAAGAAATATTTATATATTTACCAGATAGTTTGAATTTTGAATATATACAACACCATTACATGTATACTCACAGACAACTTATATATCCTATGTTGAAATGTGATTGTATATAAAAAGGAAAATGAAATTAAACTAAAGCATAAAATGAAATTATTATTTTTATTTTTTTAAATTTTATTTAAGGAGGAAAAAAAACAGAAAAAGGGTACAAGTTATACAGAATTTCAGAAAAAATAAACAGTAGGAAATCACTAGTTAATTACATATTGTCATCTTAGAAATAGTTGTTGAAGTTACAAAATTAAAGCATATAGAGGGGACTTTCAAACAGTGAGACTGCAAACAGTTTTCTTCAATGATCCAACAAAACTCAGTAATATGGTTATCTATCTTACACACTTAAATATATATGCAGTTATATCTTTTAGAGAACTTTCTTTTCCTTCTTTTGTACAATGACAATTACACATTTTGGGTTTTATTGCTCCCACAGATCTTACTATACTTTTTTTTTTTTTTTTTTTTTGAAGAAAGTAAAATCAAATGTGACATACCAGGACAGAATCATTCAAATCAAAAGGATGGACATAATACATAATGTAAAAATAAAATACAAGGTGATCAACAATGGTTACCATAATGCCTCTTGTTATCTTAAAAAGAATTGCCTATATCATCAGTTATAATAAAATTGAACAAAACAGTAAAGAATAAGACCAATAAAACCAAAACATTGGAGACATTAGAGGACTTCAAAAGAAGATAATAGTCAACCAGAATGGATGTCACAATGGATCTTATTGTCTTCATAGTTGTTGCCTATACTTTCAAACTTGGTACTATCAAGCATAACAGAATAGAGGAAAATCAGTCAAAACAAGATGGTGAGAGCAATACAGAGTTTCAAATCAAGTTAATAGGAAATCAAAGTGGGTTACTATAATATATCCTGCTATTTTTAATTTATTTTTCCCTTAATTAAAAGGATAAAAATAAAAAAGTAGATAATAAAAAGGAGATTGAGATAAAAAAGAGGGCATAACAACAAAACAGCGCAGGTCAAAACATAGCCATTTAAGCAAAATAGTGTTTCACCACAAGATAATCTCGACATAATAGTAGTTACCATAGTGTCTTTTCCCTAAAAATCTTTGGGTATAACTTCGTATGCTGTAGCATCAAACATATCAAGACAATGTTCAAGAGAATCTAGCATCAAACATATCAAGACAATGTTCAAGAGAATGACAGTATTACAGGGTATTTAGAATCAACTAACAGAAAATGAACAATGGTTTCTGTATAATCTCCTTGTCTATAAAAGTTTTTGTTTATATTTTCACATATAATAAAATCCAATAAGATACAACACGTTAAAACCGATAGAGACAGAAGAACAAAAGCTTGATGGGACTTCAAAACAAGAGGATATTAAATCAGCACTACCTATTACAATGTCTTGTTTTCTCCAAAATGGCTGTTCCTACCATCCAACCTTCTCTGCCTCATTTCTGTTGAGCTCTTTTTCTGTCATTAGTTGTCAGTTTGTCCTCTTCATTTCGCTTTCTGCTCCATTCATCATGGCCGCTCTGCCACTGTTTCTGGAATCTTGGTATTTTTCATTTTTAGAATATCCTGCAGTAATCTCTGTAGAGTTGAATTGGTGGTTGCAAATTCCCCTAGTTCGTCTTTATCCTGGAAGCACCTTGTTTTTCCATCAATTTCTAGGGACAGTTGTGCAGGATATCTCAATCTTGGCTGGAGGTTATTATCTTTCAAAGCTTGAATTATTTCCCCCCACGCTCTTCGTGATTTGATGTTTTGTGCCAAGAAGTCTGCTGTAATTCTGATGGGTGTTCCCTTGTAAGTGATCTGTTTCTTGGAGTCTCTGATGGCTTTTAATATTCTGTTTTTATATTTGATTTCTGGAATTTTGATTATTATATGCCTGGGTGTAGCTCTGTTTGGGTTGTAGGTGGCTGGGGTCCTGTATGCCTCATACATCTGAGTATCTTTACCTTTTGCTAAATTAGGGAAATTCTCCTGGATTATTTCTGTGAATAGCTTTTGTAGTTCATTTGTTTGAATCCCTACTTCTTCTTTTATGTTCTTAATTCTTAAGTTATAGATCCTCTTATCATCTTCTAGATAAAATGAAATTAAACTAAAGCATAAGAATAAATATATGACATTTAACTCATCCCAAATACTTTAGTATTTTTTCTATAGTAATTTAATGTTTTACATGTGGATACATAAAAATAAATAACATGGAAATACTAAGTTATAATAAAATTTTTATTTAAAAAGATAATAGTTTCAGCACTCCGATCTTGCTGACTTTGAATGTAAGTGTGACAGAGTTCTTAGTACAGGATGCAAAGTCCAGATTTTTTTTTCCCTCTCTTAGTTTTCTGAGAGAGGGTCTCACTATGCAGTTCAGGTTGGCCTTGAACTCTATGTAGCCGAGACTGGCCTTGAACTCTTTAACGATCCTCCTGCCTCAGCCTCCTGAGTGCAGGGATTACAGTGCACCTCCATGCCCAATGCTTGTGTTCTTGATTTTGTCAAAACACCTTAGTTTTCCATTTTTGTTGTTTTTGTGTCTAGTCCATATTTACTGGCTTTCCCTGATGTATAGGGTGCGTCTGATCACCAAAGTATCATTTCTTCCCACTGATTTTCTCTCTTTCTCTTGTTCTTTCTTTTCTTCTTTTCTTTTCTTTCTTTCTTTTTCTTTCTTTCTTTCTTTTTGTTTCTTTTCTTTTTTTTTTTTTTTTTTTTTGATCTTTTTGTCTTTTTGAGACAAAGTCTTGCAATGTGGCAGGCTTGGGCTCACTTTGTAGCCCAGGCTGGTCTTGAACTTGTAATAATCCTCCTGCCTTAGCTTCCCAGTCTACTGGTTTTCTAAGAAAATGACCTCACTAAATTAAACTCTTTACTTTCATTCTCCCTTTTTTTTGTTTTGTGATATAGTTTGAGCTGATTCCTGGAGTCTTTCTTGATAATGCCTGGTCTCTATTATAATACTTTCACCAGTTAATACTTGTTAACAGCTACTGCATACTTACATACTCATCCGCCATATATACTTTATGGAAGACATTCCAGAGGAAATATTAATCCATCACCATTTGGTTCATTTTAGGAATTGGTTGCCAGCCTTGAATTTCTCTTTTGTGAAGCACTAATTTATGCTTCAAAATTGTTGACACCAATGCAATTTTGTTTTACTCTCAGGATGAACTAGCTCGAGTTCTGGTTACTCTGTTTGATTCTCGGCATTTACTATACCAGCTTCTCTGGAACATGTTTTCTAAGGAAGTAGAATTGGCAGACTCCATGCAGACTCTTTTCCGAGGCAACAGTTTGGCGAGTAAAATAATGACATTCTGTTTTAAGGTTTGTATTATTCCTGTGTGTGCATTTTAAGAATTGTCAACTATTAATTAATGTATAGAATGTAGAGATTAGGTTGTTTTTTAATGCAAGATATATGAAACTGGTGTAATAATTTCCACATTGTGCATGTCTTTAGGTCTATGGTGCTACCTACCTACAAAAACTTCTGGACCCTCTGTTACGAATTGTTATCACATCCTCTGAATGGCAACATGTTAGCTTTGAAGTGGATCCCACCAGGTTTGTCATCTTCTTGTATACAGCTGCTCTGTTTGTTACTATCACTGCATGAGGCAAGTGCCTCATAATTGTCCCCTCTGATTAGTATTTAATTATAAAGTCTATAAAGAAGTATATTTTCCTTTATAAACACAAAAATGAAACATTACAGATATAATTAAGGACATCTTTGACTACCACCTTGGGGGACTATTACTGGCTTATTCTGTCTTTGGGTTTTTTCCCCTATGAATTTGAATATGCATGTATATAATTATAGAAAATATATAATGTGGATGCTCAATATGAAGGGTAATATATACATAATTTTCAACTCAGTTTTTAAGAACACTGTGTCTTCTGAGTATAGTGGCACATACCTGTTAATCCCAGCACTTGGGAGACTGATGCAGGATTGTTTTGAATTTGAGGCCAGCCTGGGCTACATAATTTGATGCCAAGCTGAATTACATAGTGAGACCATTTCTTAAAAACAACAACAACAAAACCCACAAAATTTTGTGTCTTTGATTTTCCTATAGCTGCATGTGAAAAATCTTGTTCTTTTATGCTGTGTAGCATTTCATAGTATGGCTGTGTCATAATTTGTTTAGTCAATATGCAGCTGATTTTTACTGTAACTTTCTAATTATTGTTCCAGCATTATCGTCTCATTTTCGGGCTATTTGCTATAGAAATTCTTTTAAACATGAATCATTTTGTCCCTTTTTTAAAAACTGAAGGCAAAAGTAAAGCACAGGCTTGTTTAAGTTCCAAGGAAATATGCCCAAGTTATGCGTTTTTAAGTGGTTTAGCACATGGATTCTTTGGGTTTGGAAATACCTAAAAAATAATGTCCCTCATCTCTGTCCAGGATTAAAACCTGGAAGGCATGAAGGGGCTTTTCTAGATTTGAATATCTTTTTGACCTTCTAAGAGTATTTGGCATACTACCTAGCATTTGGGTAACAGTTTATAAATATTTGCTGAATGGGTGAGTCTTAACAGATTATTTTACATTTGTGTAAAATACACTTCTCTAAGCCATGTATTAACATTCTCTTTTATCTGTCAGTCAGTATTGTGCTAAAAGTTAAAATTATTTTTTTACTTCAAGTTCAGAGCTTCTTAATAATTATCTGTCTAGATATTTATATACAAAATTTAGCAGTTTTGTATCAGTTGGTATTTTTGGCTCAGCCTTTGCTCAGATTTTAGCTGTAATATTTAATCAGAACTCTACTACCACATTAGCCAGTTTTTAAAGTAGTTATAGTTTAAAATTTGAAACCAACATTCTTTTAAAGCCATAGTGTATTGTGTTAAGCCATTTCCCTTTTTTGGGACAGGTTCTTATGCTTGTATTTGTTGAGGGGCAGTTATCTAGTATACATTAACTATAGTCAACATTACCGTAGTGCTCTGGCATTATTCAGTAACTCTCACTGTAATTTTATACCTTTTCTGCCAGCAGTTTTTCATTCCTTTGCTTCACCTCTCTCTCCTCACCCCTGGGAACCATAATTCTATTCTCTGCATCTGTAAGTTTGACTTTCTTTAGACTCTGCATATAAAGTGAGATCATGCGGTATTTGTCTGTCTTGTTTGTTTTGGAGATAGTTAGTCCAAGCTGTCCTCAGACTTGCCCTCTGGCCCAGGCTGATCCTATCCTCAGATTTCATGGTTCTTTTGCCCCAGCCTCCCAACTACTGGAATTGCAAATGTGTATCACCAGGCATGGTTAAGTATTTGTCTTTCTGTGCCTGGACTATTTAACCTAACAACCTCCAGGTTGTCCTTAATGTCACAGATTATATTGTTTGTTTCTTTTTAAGTACTCAGAGTGTGTGCTTGTCTGCTAACCTGTATCATATATCCCTTTTCCATTTGTTCATCAGTGGATTTTATAGTTTAGCCATTGTGATAATCCAGCAATGAACATAGATGTGCAGCTATCTCTTTGGCATTTTGATTTAATTTCTTGTGGATGCATACACAGAAGTCAGATTGCTGCAATTTATGTTGATTCTAGTTTTAATTTTTGGTGGGACCTCCACACTGTTCTTTGTAACAGATGTACTAATTTACATTCACATCAAGAGTGAACATTGCTTTCGTTGTCTCTACATTTTTGCCAACACTTTTCTTTCATCTTTTTGATAATACACATTTTAAAGATGTGAGGTAATTAATTTGTTGGACATACCAGAACAAGAAAGTGGTAGGCTCACTTTTAGGTAGGAATACTTAGACTGCCATTGATAAATTGCTGAGAGCTGACTGTGGACTAGCTGAGTTTTAAATTTCTCCTGGGAGGCCATGCTCCACAGGACCTCCTCTCCTTTGTGAATTTTACTTCCAGAGCCTTATTTGCATCTCAAAATGAATAGGGGAGAAAAATTCCGTTGTGCTTAGAGCAAGGGAAAAGGAGAAATAGTCATTTAAAAAATATGCCCAGAGGGCTGTATTATCCCTAACAAATTTTTGCCCATAAGAGAAAATTACTTTATCTGAGCTATCTGATCTGGAGAATTCCCTCCCTCCCCCATTTCTGGTCTTCCTGTCTCACAAAAGGAAAGGGAGGGGAAAAAAAAAAAAAACAGGCTAAGAAACCTTTCTGAAAACCACAGCTCAGGGACCCAAAGACTAATATAAACAAGGGAGATGTGATTAGAATCCAGGAAAAAATTAAACTTTTTTTTTTTTGGTCTTTTTCCTTTTTATCGGTACCAGGGATCGAACTCACGACTGCCTGCTTGCAAGGCAGGCGCTTATGCCGCTGAGCTAAACCTCCAGCCCCCAAATTAAACTTTTTTACCCAGGTATGACTGTAGAGCAAAAATTGGTGAAAATAAAAACTGAAAATCTGGTTCTTTGAAAACCAAATGGAAGAAAAAGGTTTGTACACATAAACACTTCATAATTGAACACAAAACTTAATTTTAGATTAGATTTAGTAGACTGACCAACAAGTTGCTATGGTCCATGGGAGGCAAGAGAGCCCCCTTGACTAGAGGCAGTATGTTAGGGTGCCTGAAACAGGTGGTAATGTCCTTGGTGCTGATCTGAGGAAACCTCCCAACCCTTACTGAAGAAACTGTTACTCTTACTCATCCCCTAAAACCCATATCCTCCTTTGGTAAGATTTGAAAGACTGTTGTATCTTCTTATAACCAGTGTCTTTTCAGTTATCTATATATCCCAAGATCATTTTCTTTTTGTGCCTTCCTAGTAATCCTCAGCCATGAGTAACTAATATATGTCTGTCTCTGCTTTGCTATTTTATCTTTTTTTTTTGGCGCAGTTTTGGAGATTGAACTTAAGGCCTCATTTGTACAAAGCAAGTGTTCTCTCTGTTCCTGAGCTACACTCCCACTTTTTTCAAATTTTTAAAGATTCAGTCTTGAAAAATTGCCCAAAATAGCCTCAAACTTTTGACCTGCCTCAGCTGCCTGAATAGTTGGTGTTACAGGAATGGACCAGCATGCCTGGCAAGCCATTTTCTCTTTTCTTAGGTAGTAATGATAGCAACATAACTTTTTTCTCTTTACGCTAAGCATTTACACTCCCTGCTTAAACTCACCTGACTATGTACCATTCTCCAGATGTGTGGGAATCTGCTACACACAAGTACATAATTTTCCAGTGGACACCAGTTGGTTGTCCTATGATTTAATTCAGTTTTGACACTGTCTACTTGGAAATAGAATCAGATCCTACAGATTCTTTGTCTGTCTTTCCTGAGACAAGGTTTCACTATGTGGTTCAGGCTGGCCTTGAACTCACTTTGTAGCCCAGGCTGGTCTCGAATTCACAGCAATTCTGCATCAGCCTCCTGAATGCTGGGATTACAGGTGTGTACCACCATGCCTGGCAGATCCTACAGATTTAAAGGTTCAGTCCCATAACATTGCTAGCACTGCAAATGACAGTCACTAGCCCAGAGTTGTGACTTGTACTTTAGACTAGAAGATTATAAACGTACATTCCCATAACTGCCTCCGTTGAGGCAACTCATAGTTGAATTTATTTGTTTGAATGGCTTATACAACTCAACAAAAATATGTAGTACTTTCCATATTGTAGGAAGATAAAGATTCCATATTGTTCTTGATGTACTACATTCTAGGACCATCTATATATTCAGCAGCCTTAGAAGATCTTCAGACTTCTTGGATTTTTTGTAAGTTTCATTTTATAGGTGTGTTTGATCGAATCATTGCCCACTGTGTTAGGCTTAACCTTCCATCCTCTGTCCCTCCCTACAGATTAATTCCACCTTGGTTTTTCTGGTGACCAGTCCCTGTTCTGAAGCTTTCTAGGGGCCCCAAGTCACTAGTCATGTGCAAAGGTTTTAGGGGCCATGTCCAAAGAGCAAGAAAAGCAAATACATATTTATCATGATATTACAGCATCTGTAAGTTATTATATTCATTGCTTAGTGTATAATCTAATATGTGTGTCTTTCTTATCAAAAAGATCAGAAACCAATTATTGTTGGATAGTCAACACCTTGCCAAGTAATCGATATGTTTTCATTAGATTGAATTGAGTACCTGCCCCTACTTCTTCTTCTGAAATACTTCTTTTTTGCCTATTGAAACTCTGTCCTTAAGAACTGAACTATTCCATGAAATTTTCCGTCTCTTAGTTCATATTGTTGTTAGAAGTCTTGTTGTATTTATATCCTATACCATATAGGGACCTGTGAGGAATCTGGAGTATCAACTTCAGTGTTCAGAGCATTTATATAATATGGAAAATAGTATAGAAATAAAAAACTAGTTGAGATATTGAAACTAAATATTTACTTAGTATTTGCTTTGGTAAGGTATTGTGCTAATCTTTTTAAATTAAAAATACTTTATTACTAAAAAATGTTGATGATCACCTGGGCTTTTATGGAGTCATAATCTTTCTGTTGCTGATGGTGGGTCTTGCCTTGATGTTGACAACTACTGAGAGATCTGGATAAAGGTTAGGGTAGCTGGGGTTCGTCTGTCCATCCATCCATCTGTCCT